AAGGAAGGGAAAGTTGCGGGGTTTCGTGACGTTGGTTATAATAATGGCGGAGTGGACTGGATACTGTGTCTGGGTTGGAGTGAAAATACTGTGAAGTTGGGCTTTATCCTCTTCGGAATTTAGCTCATTATACATCTGTTTGTTGCTTTTATATTTTAGTATTGTCTTACTCATATATATTTATTATTAGCAGTATATACTTTCAATGTCAATTTCTGTAGTCACATGGAATCATGGACCATTCAGCTTGTATGATTTTTTTCTAATTTATGAATCTGAATTCCTAGCGGATTTTTATAAACTTGTTTACCGCGACACTTCGGGCCAATAAATATTTTTTGCTAATTCCTAGTAAAAATTCTCTCGCAGAAGAGTTGAGGCGTTGTGGTGATTTATTGTTACGACCTCTGATCGCCTCATAAAGGTTCCGAAAACGCTTTGAACCAACCGGCCGGCATTATATTATGCCTTAGCAGACGGAGATAGAAGAATAAGAAATAAAGCAGTCGTTTATAGTAATAAATATACCGTAATAAACCGACCTATTACTGGGACGAGTTGACCACCGCCGCCGATGAGCTTCTCAACCCAATCTGATGATCAATTATCAAAAACTACTCTTAATTCGAAATATATTTACAATGGTAGATAGTACTAATACACAGGACATAATGTAGAGGAATAGTACGTGAGACCACCAGGGTTGAGGTGATCTCATTCCATTATTCAGTAGTGCCATCGTTTAGACATCTTGAGTCAAAAACCTACTTCTCCGGAGTATTCTTTTTACTACTGCCTGATTTTAAAATCTTACTTAACCGACACTTTCAACACGTCAGTGGTTCGTTTCCATCAGCCAGAAACAGGAGTACCTGAAAGAGGTATCTTACGACCCCTTCCACTAAACGTGCGGTATTAACCACCGCAGACAATATCGCCATCCCTTTTTATTATAAAGATCCCGTCATGTCCAGAAACTTGGTATCCATGTCACTTTCACCGTGAGACAGACCGGAACTTAACTACGCAGCTCTCTCCCACATGCTTCTCTACATTGGGCTGTACATAAACAAAAAACATGTCAACAGAAAATCCAGTCTTTTTAAATACTGATTCTAGTTCTAGTTACAGTTAAAACTGATTCTACAAAATATATATCTACACGTTTAGCTGTATGGCTCGAATTTTTGGGGTTTAATCAAATCCTATCCTTACATACTTTACAAATTCCTCTGAACCATCGTCAATAATACTTTCTGTGCATCCAAATCTTTCTCTCTCTCTCTCTCTCTCTCTCTCTCTCTCTCTTTATTTCGTTTAATTTATATATGCATCTATGGAACCAAAAAATCGAAAAAGTTTTTGTCTTTTTCGATGAAAAAGGCTCGTAGGCACGTTTTTTACGTATTTTTTCATGAAAAACGCAAAAAACACAAAAAATCGGCAAAAATTTTATTGTCTTTTTCGACGTAAAAAGCTCGTAGGCATAGATACGTTTTTTACGTATTTTTCATGAAAAACGAAAAAATCGAAAAAAAATTTATTGCCTTTTTTTTTATGTAAAAGGCTCGTAGGCACGTTTTTTGTATTTTTCAAGAAAAACGCAAAAAAAAACAAAAATTGAAATAAATTGTGTTATCTTTTTCGATGTAAAAGGCTCGTAGCCACGTTTTTTACGTATTTTTCATGAAAAACGAAAAAAAAATCGAAAACAAATGTATTGTCTTTTTCGATGTAAAAGGCTCGTAGGCACGTTTTTACGTAATTTTCAAGAAAAACGCAAAACAATCGAAAAAATTTTATTAACAATTAACATTAATAACATTTAATTTAAATAGCATACAGAGGGATTGTGAATTTTTAACTCCGTTCCAATCATTCTCTCTCTCTCTCTCTCTCTCTCTCTCTCTCTCTCTCTCTCACTCTCTCTCTCTCTCTCTCTCTCTCTCTCTCTCTCTCTCCCTCCTTCTCTGGCTTCACATTCTTCTTCTTACGATGTAATACAAGTTTGAAAGGTAGATACAAGGTAGAAGTATGAAAGAAAAATAGAGCTCCAAAAAATAGTTCAGCCATAAATTAAAATTAGTTATTACCATTATTTTGTAATCGGAGTTTTTGTAATTTTAATGTATGGTTTTCAAGGTTAGGAATGTAATTTTTATGTATGCAGTTTTACACTTTACATAATAATTATTACTATGTAAAATAATATTTTTATGGCAAGATAACAAACAACAGTTTATAACAACAATGGAAACAACCGATAGATATCCAACAAAAGCAAATTCGATTCTCGACAGACGAAAGGGAGAGGATCTGTAGTAATTAGAGAGAGGGAACCGGAGGCCGGAGTTTTATGAATGAGAAGGGTGCGCAGCCGTGGAGGCGGCCCTCGGGGGTGGTTCGAGGCACGATCGGGGGTGGCATCGGAGGCGGTAACCCAGACGGAAAGTCATGCCGAGATGTGGACTGTCAGACACCATGAGCTCTTCACCACCGCACGAAGACATCTCGCTCACACCGACCATCCCATGATCTACAACGGTATTTTCAATTTATCGTCAAAAGCATGCGATTTTTAGTTAAATCCGTTATACAACCGTGAGAAAAAAAAGAACAAATATAAAAATTATATATGTATTTTTCCTTTTTTTCCTCTACTGTATAAAATCGTACAGCCACTCTGAATAGAGCTTTCCTTTTTGATTTTTTTACGTTTTATTTTTACGTTAATTTATGAAAAATTGACAATAAAAATCAGCGTAAAAAAATGCTGTTAAGTAAAGATACAAGGGATTGGTTATACTAGGACAAAAAATATTGGAATAGTGTCCAAGGTCCTTGCCAAAGGGTCCTAGAAGGAGGTTCATTTATTTAAAAGTAATTAAAATATTTTATTTTTAAAGATGGGTTTCTGTTTTGTGAATATATTTCAATGTTTTGAACTTATTATATAACAGTCAATTCGTGTCGTAGAATCAGTCAGAGGACGAGCAAGTTCGAGCTATCTGTAAAAAATACGCTACACAATTTATTTTTCGAGGCGACGTAGTAAAATAGGTTTTAAAAAAGTTTTTTTAGCCAAAAACAAAGTTGCAAAAAACCCTTGAACACATATCTTTGGGAAAATCAAAAGTATTTTTTTTTCTCAATTTTATCACCTTCCAACGAGGGATTTTGTCCCAAAAATGACAAAAATGGTGGTAACTGAAATAAATTTACCTATACACAGGAAAACTTAACAGAGAATTTAAAACCCACTAAATTACACGTAATGGCATAAACCTGGCCCTCCTTAAATAAATTAGAACTGGAAATATAAAGCATTTGAAGAGTTTTTGTTTATTTATTCATATATATTACACAGGGTGGGCGACCAAGACCCGAGGTGATTTATTTTTTCACAAATTTTCTCAATTGTAATGCCGCAACTCTAAACTTTGTTGATGCAGGCTGAAAGTAGAAAGAGTAATCTTTCTATCGGATAAATAACGATAACAATTAATTGTAACTTTAAAAGGTCACAGGCACGTTTTTTACGTATTTTTCAAGAAAAACACAAAAAATCGAAAAAATTGATATTGTCTTTTTCGATGTAAAAGGTTCGTAGGCGCGTTTTTTTACGTACTTTTGAAGAAAAACGAAAAAAAAAATCGAAAAGGTTTTTGTCTTTTTCGATGTAAAAGGCTCGTAGGAAAAGGCACGTTTTTTACGTATTTTCATGAAAAACGCAAAAAAAATCGAAAAAAATTTTATAGTCATTTTTTGATGTAAAAGGCTCGTAGGCACGTTTTTTTACGTATTTTTCATGAAAAACGAAAAAAATCGGCAAAAATTTTATTATCTTTTTCGATGTAAAAGGCTCGTAGGCATAGGCACGTTTTTTACGTATTGTTCANTCTCTCTTTCTCTTTCTCTTTCTCTTTCTCTATTTAACTCTCTGTTTCCCTATTTATTTTTTCGTTTGTTCTTGTCCTCTCGTGATGACCTGATTACAAAATTAAATTGCGGGATTAGGGATCGTCTGTGCGAGATTGATTTAACAATATACTATCCAAAATAACTGTTTGGGCTTTCGTCCTATTTGAATGGCCAATTTAACGCAACGAAACTTTTCAATAGAAAATAAGTCAGTTATGTGATAAGATAAAAAAAATTAATCGGCAAAATTCCATTTAAATATATTTTAATTTGTATAAAATATTTTTGGAATATAACTCTTCTTCTTGGTAGGGTGCTATTTCGTTTAATTTGTACTATAATTTTTATTTTATGTTGTCTTTTGAAGAAATTGCTGCTTAAAATCTATGCTAATTATTAAATAAAAGTTTTTTCTTTCCTGTTCACAACATTAACGCCCGAAACCAATTACAATTTACTATTTATTCTTGTAAATAAAGAATTTTTATTCGTTATATATAATAAATATTGTAATATTTGATTTTTTGAATAAAATTTCGAACAAAATCATTCAAACGCCAACACTTTCATATGCCATTAAACATAAAGATTTTGTAAAAAAAATTTCGCAACCGCAACTTGAATCCTTTCTAGGAAAGAATGTTGTGAAAGCTGTCTGCATTTTGTCATTGAAAGTTTTTGGTTTTGAACTAATTCATTTAACAAAAGAATACTATGAGAAAGTACTGTTATTTGCTAGTTAACCATTTTTATTGGTTAGAGACAAGAGTGAACAAGCTATGAGGTGAGAAATTAGCCAACGATATGAAAGAATAGGCCATCTCGGAATAACCTAAGAGTTATGTTAGAACAATCATATAGACTAGACTTGCTACTTCAGATTATATTTAGACCCATGGTTCTTATTCAAGGGAAAATGTGTCAATTTTGGAGAAGTTGAATTTACCGTGAGACTGTTTTTCGATAGCCAAGATAAGGAATCAGTGTGGGTCTTGAGCAGTTGGATAGGATCACTTTATTATTACTATTTTATTATTTGATGAAAAAAAACACGGTCATGATTGTTGTTGTTGTTTTAGATCCGTATGAGCTCCTGAATGCAGCGAGCAGCAGGTTGGTCGCTCAGGGTTCGGGCCAGATCCAGCTTTGGCAGTTTCTCCTGGAGCTCCTGTCGGATTCCAGCAACGCCTGCATCGCCTGGGAAGGGGCCAACGGCGAGTTCAAGCTGACCGACCCGGACGAAGTCGCAAGGAGATGGGGCGAACGAAAGTCAAAACCAAACATGAACTACGACAAACTCAGTCGAGCGCTTAGGTAATATAAACCAACATACATGGTATTATAAAAGGTGAAAATTTACTATTCCCTCCCTAGTGATTTAAAATCGCTGGAGAAAAGAAGTTACAACAGTGATTTATGAAATATGGACATTTTTTTAATCGCAACATCATTTTGAGTTGATGATGGCGTTGGTCTGTAAGTCAGTGAACTCATGGTCCAAAACGATTCAACTAAACGTTTATCACCTTGCAGACCCGAAGAAGAATCGAAATGCTCATAAAATAATTACGCCGTTATTAAAATTTAAGACACCTAAAACGATCATGCTGGACCGGCACAGGGTCACTTATTAGGTCCGTCTTTACTCGCTGGTTTGTTGAATTACTCAAACGCGTTTCGGCACAGCCATCTTCAGTAAGGTTGAGAAATGAGTTAATTCAAAACCAGTGAGAAAAGACGGGCCCAACAAGTGACCCTGTGCCGGTTCAACATGATCGTTTTAGGTGTCTTGAATTTTAATAACGGCTTAATTATTTTATAAGCATTTCGATTCTTCTTTGGGTCTGCAAGGTGATAAACGTTTAGTTGAATCGTTTTAGCCTGTCTATTTCTGTTTTGCTTCGCCTTCTCGCTTGCTTAAAAGCTACAGATCTCAACAACACGCATGTAAAAAAAAACTCGGATAAAATAATTCACTTTTTTTTAATGAACAATCTGAAATATCATTTATCCAATGATTCTCAACGATATGATCAATAGTTATAATGAAGATTACAATATTTCCAAAAAATTAATTAATAATTAATTATTTTATTACATTTTGTTGCGGAATACAATAGAAATAATTTGGATTGACGAAATTAGGAATTTAGTGTGGTATGTGATAAATGCCTGGATTCCTTAACATCATTAAATTCAATGACAAAACGTGATGATGAAGATTAAAACTGCCCTAAAAATTAATTATTTATTTAATTAAGTAAAATAATCATTTTTAATTAATAATCAATTAATTGTTGTGTGAATACATTGAAAGCATTTGGATTTCATAATAAGTAATTCAGGGTGAAATATTATCACGCCTGGGCTCCCTAGCATCATCGAATTGAATGACAAATCGTGATGATGAAGATTAAAACTGCTCTGAAAATTAATTATTTATTTCTTCAATTAAGTACAATAATCATTTTTAATTAATAATTAATTAATTGTTGTGTGAATACATTGAAAGCATTTGGATTTTCATAATATGTAATTCGGGGTGAAATATTATCACGCCTGGGCTCCCTAGCATCATCGAATTGAATGACAAATCACGACTAAAAATTAATTATTTATTGATTTAATTAAGTAAAATAATCATTTTAATTAATAATTAATTAATTGTTGTGTGAATACATTGAAAGCATTTGGATTTCATAATATGTAATTCAGGGTGAAATATTATCACGCCTGGGCCCCCTAGCATCATCGAATTGAATGACAAATCGTGATGATGAAGATTAAAACTGCCCTAAAAATTAATTGTTGTATGAATACAATGAAAGCATTTGATAATAATTATGTAATTCAGAGTGAAATATGATCACACCTGGGCTCCCTAGCATCATCGAATTGAATGACAAATCACGACTAAAAATTAATTATTTATTGATTTAATTAAGTAAAATAATCATTTTAATTAATAATTAATTGTTGTGTGAATACATTGGAAGCATTTGGATTTCATAATATGTAATTTAGGGTGAAATATTATCACGCCTGGGCTCCCTAGCATCATCGAATTGAATGACAAATCGTGATGATGAAGATTGAATTTAAACTTGTCTAAAGATTATTTTAAACTTGACTAAAATTAATTATTTATTTATTTAATTAAGTAAAATAATTAATTAATTGTAAATTATTTTATTTAATCAACTAATTTTGGTGTGGAATATATTGAAAACAATTGGATTCTCAAAATATGGAATATGCCTTTCTATTTCTGTTTTGCTTCGCCAACTTAAATGTCCGCTTGAAACTAGCTTCAGATGATCTCTACGATACCATGACAAAACAGAAAAATAGTCGGAAAACTTCTGCCGGTTTTTAGATTTTTTCGATTGAGAATCTACCACCATGCAATAACAGGTCAAGGAAGGAAATAAGTGGTGTTCGAAGTAGCGAGGTCGGGCTAGGTTCCTGAGGGAAAGGTTCGAAATCCATTTCGTTAATTTTTGCTGTGATCTAAAGAAAATGTGCGACCTTGCGCTGTCATGCTGCTTTTGTACTATTACTGTTTATTAAATTATTAAAGCTGTTTTCGGCCTAAAAGACCAAGTTGAACGAAGTCCCTTGTCACTTGAGCATCAGGAACTGATCAAAATGGATCATTTCTTAGAAATCCCATGACCTTTTCTTTACTTTGCCGCCTTGAAGCCGGATCAGCTTGTCGCCCAGTCCCACTTTTCATTGAAAATTAGAGTTAGTAATCAAGTAGTTTTCTACTTTTTCACTTATATTTTACCTGTCAGACATTGACAAAACATCGCAACTAAAAGATCATGCCTGATCTTTTATCATATGTCTCCTTCCTTATACCATCTCCGGTTGACACGAGAATCTTCACTTAAGAAGGAAACTTAAATATGTCAAAGATGTTTTTTGTTATCAGAGATTTGAATGAATAAGGTTCTTTTTCTTGGACTCGATCATTATCAAAATAACTAAATATAATTGGCACAGATGACGGTCTTAACTCAGGAAACAATCGTGTTATGAGCAGAATTGTTCCTCGGAAAGCTGAGTCCGTAGCGACAATTTGGCTAACGAGACTTCGTTTAAAGATTTTTATTAAATTACACCAAGTGGAACGTAATAAACAAAATTATAATAAAAATATTTCAAAAACAAGGTGACGACTAGGTTGGTGTGTCACGGATTTGTACCAGACTTTTTTTTTATTCTACACTCCAAAATATCGGACCCCGCCTCTTTTGATTAGACCTTGGTTTGGCCAAAAATTTTAAAATTGAAATTTACGCTTTTTTAAAAATATTTTTATTTCGCCGTTCTACTTGCTGAAATCAACTAAGTGAATATATAATTTTACAGATTTTTTTATGTAGACTTCAATAAAAATATAGTAAAAGCTATAAAAATTATAAACATCGAAAAAATTTCAAAAAACATACAACTTTTTTTCGTGAAACTTATGAAATTTCGTTTTAGCACCTCTAAATATAAATTTTTGTTTGAATTTAAATTTGTCGATATTTGACCAAGTGTAACGTAATAAACAAAATTATAATAAAAATATTTCCAAAACAAGGTGACTTTTTTTGATGATTCTACACTCCAAAATATCGGACACCGCCATTTTCGACTAGGCCCTGGTTTGCCCAAAAAAATTTGAAAGCTGAATTTTATCTTTTTTTTATATTTTCATTCCAATTTCGTTTTAGCGCCTCTAGAGTCACATTTAGGTATATTTATATAAATTTTTTGTTTGAATTTAGATTTATAGATTTTTTGACCCCTGAAATTTTTCCGATTTTTAAAAAGTCGTTATTGGAATATCTTATTGAAACAGCTATTATTCAAATAATGTGTTGAAAAATGTATACTATCATTGTAAGAAAATTTATTTTATATTAATAAATGCCTGTCATTTTTCAGGTATTATTACGATAAGAACATAATGACCAAAGTACATGGGAAGAGGTACGCGTACAAGTTCGACTTCCATGGTCTGATGGCTGCATGCCAGGCACAGGCACAGTCGAGCGGCGGCAACCCGAGGGATTTTTCAACCGATCTCAGCGGCCTGTACCAAACGGCGAGTTCGAGTCTGCTGCCTTCACCGCCTCCGGCTCCAGCGGCCATCCTCCAGCCACCGCCGTCCTACTGGGCGTCAACGGGCCTATCCTCCATTTACATGCCGCCTCCGAGGTACCCTCACTACACCCCCCACACGACAACCAACTAACACAACCCGGTAGGACGCTCTCTTCAGTTCCTAAGTCGTCTCATTCAGGGATCTCACAACGAGTGACATCCTGCTGGCAACAATCGGTTGACCGTAAAATAAACAAAAAAACAAGTTCCTTTTATCTCAGAATATTTTTTAATTGACTAATCTATAAATATTTGGCCATCTTGATCACTGAATCTAAAAAAACATTTAAAATCTCACTTAATATAGTTTAATTTGATTTTGTGTTCAAAACATTTGAAGTAATATTTTCATAAATACTTCATTTAATATAGAACAAACTAGTTCGATTATCATGTTATACTGTTTTATTTGTTTTTAGAATAACTCAGATGTACCTGATTTCTAACAATAGGTCGATAAAAAAGAGAATAAAATATAGAAATTGTTTTAAGAGATATTATATTTTATATTATTGATTTATTGTTAGACTATTGTAAGGTTTAATGTGCATAGTAGGCAAATTACCGGTGTGTCGATTGTGAATAGTGATAATGTAAATATATTGTAATTATGTTAGATATAATAAAATGATAAATGAGCTTTGGAAACAAATTTTTTTATATGAGTAATTTTAATTTATTTCCAAGCTCATTTTACAGAATAGGATTATTACTGGTTGTGAACCTTTACCCTTTTTTAGCTTTATGTACAAATTTGTTTTTAAAATAAAATTTATGAATATAATTGGACAAATTTTATTAGACCTCTTTATTTTCATTTGCTTTGTTTAACAAATTTGCTGGGTGTTCGCCAGCAGCCAACCTGACATACTTATAGATGGGCTTAAAAAAATAAAATAACATAATAATAAAAAAATAAAAAACAGTAACGAAGGAATTATATAACCTTACGTTAAAGAAATAAATTTCCTATACTTATTATTTATTACTTCATATAGAAAATAATTACTTTATTTTTCATGTTAAAAAAAGCCTTATCCACATATTTACAATAAATTAAATAAAACTATGTACAAGAAATTTACAAATGATTATTTTTTGGAACATAAATGTTGTTTTGCATACTCCCAAAGGAATATGGCACCCGAGACATGCACGTTGAGAGATCTGATCACACCGAACTGTGGGATTTCAACGCAAGCATCTAAATGTAATATAATATCAGCAGGAATACCTTCTCTTTCATTTCTGAAAAAAATTAATTAATAATTACAAAAAAGTTTTATTTTTAACCTTTGAAATAATTTTACCCGAGGACGAGAAGAGTTTTATAGGGGAATTTATACTCAGATAAAAACACACTTGTTGTCGTTTGCTCAGCGCCGACAACTGTATATCCATCTTGTTTAAGATTTGTTAAATACTCTGTTAAATTGCGTGCTTTCACCTAAAAATTTTTTTTTAAATAAAGCTGATATACATTGTGAAATATTACCTCTGTGATGTTAATGTGTTTTTCTGCTGTCATGCTGAGGCTTGTGAACGATTTGTCTTTTGTCAGTTCTAAATTTCCCACGACCAACTCTTTCACACCGAAGATATCGCACGTTCTGGCCAGGCCGCCGAGGTTGGCGGATTTGTCGATCAGACTTGTGACCAAAATCATACCGCCTTCTTTTCGGTTTTTACGCGTTTCCTCTAGTTCAAGCTCTGAAAGCATGCCTTTCCAAGGGACGAATTTCTTTTGTATGCTCGTGCTCTCCTCCCTCACGGATATTTCTGGCAAACGAATAATTTTATTTATTGATAATGTTTAATTTGGAAATTTATTACCGGAAGCTTTCAAGACCCAGGAAGGAGATTCGCATTCAATTAATTCACTCTTTTCGCCTAAAGGTATTCCAATATTCTCAACATTTACTATCGATTTTAAATACGAAATTGAAATCCACTCGTCTTGCGATATATTTGATAATCTAGGCAGGTCCCAAAATATTGTCTTGAAAAGGAATAATTATAATATTAATCCATAATTATAATCTATAAAATAAAAAAGTACCTGGAGAGTAAAATGTTTTTTACAGTCGAAAATGTTAAAATAAAAATCAGATTGAAGCTTTTTGACGTTGATCAGCATATTTCCCTGGGCAAATATTTTCCACTGGTTTTTGTACAGTATTTTGTATTTTTCAGCCATTTCTGGGTAATACGGCCAAAGTTTTTCCATTGCAACCTAGATTATAGAAATTTAGGGTGATTATTCATATATTATCATCAATAATTTAAAAAAATAATAATGGTTATAAATCAAAAGTCAATTCAAGGCGAAAAATAATTTAATAAAATTAATAATTCAACAAATTGAAGAAAAAATTAATAGCATCAGGTTGTTTACAAGGTAAAGTTTTAATTAAATAACTATTCTTATAACTTTTTTGTTTATTAATCTTCTCTTTTATTGATTGAAAATTTACATGTCTCCCCTCACTTTTTCTGTGGGTCAGTCTTGTAAAAGAAACATACATACTTGTATGGGTGGATTTGGATCAGTGTGAAAAATTTTTTGGATGAAACTTCATCGAAAAAGTAGTAGAATGGCCCAGAGTGGATATCCTATCTCTGTTTAATAAGGAGTTATGATTATTCTTGTGTTAAAAAAATAACAATAATTTATATTTTATTCCATTTATGTTTAGTGGTCTAATTGACCATATTAATTATTCTTTTTATGTATGGTGTTGGTTGAGATGAAAATGCTAGTTTCACGAGCAGGATTCGAACTCACAACCTTTGGCTTTGAATCCCGTTCGTGAAATCATCTTTTTCATCTCAACCAAGACCTTACATAAAAATAATACTTAATTTAAATAAACTATAATGTAAATAAATAAATTTATCGCTCTTTCTGAAAAAGTAGTCAAAACTGTGAATAAATTAGGTAAAGTGGTGAAAAGGCAATTTAACAACATAAGGTCCGATTTTTTTTTTTTAAATCTTATGATTTTTCCTTCTTGAAGGTTTTTTTCTCGAAAAAAATGGTTATTATATCAAAAACTCGTATCTTGACAACAGATTAAGACAATAACGTGTAGTTGGTCTCATTCTAATAAAACATATTGCTCGAATAGGTTTTTTTCTATGTATATTGAGACATAAAACCATTCGGGAGTAATTCTTGAAAAAAAGCTATTTAAAAAAAAAGGTTTTTTGAGGTTTTTACGTTTTTCTCAGAAGCCTTCATTTGGGGACCTAGGTTTATAGGAACTTTTATGTTCAGCATGAAATTTCCTATAAATCCTCAAAGTATCTTTGTTTCGTTAGGGCCCACCCAGTATAAGTAATAGATAATATATCATTTTCCATCCTAATATTTTTTTACCCTTTGAAGGGAGACAGGCAAATAGTATAATTAAATGAGCAATGACAAATGAGCCATATTTATTATTACCTGTCCGTACAGCCGTAAATTGAAATTTTGCGACATACAGCAGGGAAGTACGTAGTTTATTAATTCTTCGAAAAACTCGTTGTCAATTTTGGTCTTGGCGAGGTGAAAGGCAATGCAGATGAAAGATGTAAGGCTGCCAATTCGCTCATCCCCTGCCTGGAAATAACAGTCAATTCATCTTTTTTTGGTTTTAAGAAATACACTTTACCTTGTCAAATACATTCCAAAACTTTGTTTTAAAGAGAGGATAGTCGATGCAGAGGTTGATGAAAAGCAATTCGAGCTGGTAACGAATGCTCGGCTGCTGGCTCTCGCTTAGCAAAGCCTCTACAGCCCAGTCATACAACAAGAATTGTATGTTCTAAAAAATAAAAAATTAGAAGGTGAAAATTCAAATAATTAATTTTCACTGAACCCACAAATCCATCAAACTCAAACAGGTGATTGGCGATGTACCGTTGTATTATGAGCAAAACCTGTAGCGTTCTGTTTTTCCGCCTGTGGACTAAAGAGTCGTTGAAGTACCTTTTATTGTTCTTCATGCAAGTCCTGTCCTCTTGTATCAAATTCTTGACCATTTTAAAAATAAATATGTTGTTTTCTGGGGAGGAGTTTTTAAAAAGGATGTTCAGCGCTTGCAGCCTGACTTCAAGCTCGGACTTGACAATAATACTGGAAAAAAAAAATACTGAGTTTTTTTTAAACAAAAATTAATTTTGGTACTTACTGAGGCGCAAGTTTGTTAATAGCATAAGCATCGCCTTGAGAATGTATATAGTTGCAAGTTTCAAATTCTAATCTAAAAAATAATATTTTATTAATAAAAATTAATATTAAAAAAAAGAAAATTTCCTCCTTTAGTCAGCAGTCTGATGTAATTTTTAAATGTTAACGTTTAATTTACAATTTTATTCTTTGATACTTCAAACAAGTTGACAGTCAAATATCAACTTTTGTTAATTATATATATTTTTGTCACTATCGACCAAGACCAGCACAGGCATAGACTAAAATGATTCGTAATGACAAAAATAAAATTTTTATGTAATTAACAAAAATAGATCTTAAACTGTCATTTTGTTTTAAGTATCAAAGAATAAAATTGCAAAATTAAAAATTAAGATTTAAAAATGGGACCATTGACTATTAGAATTGAAAATATAAACAATTTATGTGTAAAAATGATAAATAATGATCAAATCAAACATGCTTTTTTTATTTTTTTATCTAAAGTGGAAACCAAATTAGTTCAAAGAAATGTTTAAAACAACTGTATCAACAGAAAAATCAAGGTTGAATAAATGTTAATATTTAACTAGTTACTAAAATTACTAGTAGCTATTAGTTATTAAAATATAAATTTTTAAAAATTATCTTATTTTTACTTTTGATCCCTTCTGTTTATAGAGCCAAATAAAAGACACTCGACAAAAATATCATCAAAAATCACTGGCGTTTCTCCGACATCGAAGGCATGCAAGTGTCGAGACAGGACGTTAGCCAGCCCGGAGATATCGTTTCCTTGCGACAGCAAATTAAAGGCGAACTGAAAAATAAATCATTAAAATTGAAAAAAATAACATGACAAGGAAAATTACATTTTTTATTATAGGCTGTAGGTCGCTTTTTTTAATGAGCTCAGTGTTGAAAAGCATCGAGATCCAAAGGTTGATCGCTTTCCAGAAAAGTTCTGTTTTTCTAAATTCGAAACAGGTCTGCCAAGTCAGGTTGATGAAGTTCGATATCTTTTGTATGTCTTTGTAAAATATTAGGATTTGGTTGAACACGCTAAGGATCGGGACGACAGACTCTTTGCCACCTGTGTTCAACGCTTCCTGCGCTTCTTCCATCAGTGCGCTGAGACAAAAGCTCTCGTATATTTTCTCGACGCCGTATTCTTTGATGTACAGGGACAAGCAGTCCCAGGCGAGCTGGACGTTAAGAGCGACAATCTGGCTATGGATCATTTTCAACTCTGTCAAGAGAATCTCAGGAGGCTTTTTGAGAAGGGTTCTTTTCAGTATCCTAGGTCTGAAAATTCTCGTAAAATCAGGAGGCTTTAAATCGCTTGTCGTGACATAAGAGAAGTATAAATTTATTATGTTGAGACATAAGTGTTCTTGAATTACTCCTATGAATTCAGCGAGAATTTCAGAACATGCAGTGTTTAAAAGAACCTGTGCTTCCTTAGTATACACAGCCAACAAATTTGGATTCTCGAAGATCAATTTAAGCACTTTTACATAAGTGCTTACATCGTTTAAGTCCCTTACGTTTGTCACAGTTTGTAATCTGTATTTAATAAATAGAAAAACATAAGCGAGATTGTCATGGATTATTTTCAACAGAGGGGAAAAATCTGTTTGCCCTTCGTTTAACAGGTGAAAAATAAGTTTAATGGAAATATTCTGTTTTTCAACGGCTGAATAAGCCCTTTTGTCGCAATCTTCGAGTGCGTTGAATATCGTATGTACTGCTTGGTTGTGCGTTGGGTTTTTGGGGTTGAACAGACCTATTTCGGACAACATCAGCAAGACGCGAGATATGCTTTGAAGCGAGGCGCTTTCGTAAAGAAACTTTTCCATGAAACCGCTTATAAAGAAATCCGCTTGTTTTTGCGTTATGAACGATTTCATCCACTGTTCGACGTTGGTCCATTCTTTGGTACCGCGCCTCAGGCACTCTTCGCTTTTAAATACATTGAGCACCTCGCCGATTTGCAACAACTCGACGTTTTCGCAAGTCAGTTTCATAACACAATTCAACAAATGTGTCTGAATGGCCCCGCGGATAATGACGGTTTGCGTTCTTAGAGCTTGCACTATAAAACTTTTCAGCACGTCTAATGTAAGCACGTCCCATGCTTGCACAGAAGGCGTTTTCGACAAGGCTTTCGTCACATGAAAAAGTGCAATAGGGCTCCAACTGACTAACGAGATTGAGAGTAAAATATCACTGAGCATTGTCACCGATTTGCAAAACCATTTCTCAAGGATTTCATCCAAATTGAAATCCTCGTAAACTGAAAAAAGCAGCATATTATTAATCGATTTGAAAAAATTCAAATATAAGGATTTATAATTGTAGTCTTTAGTCCAGAGCATGGGATCGACAGAGGCAAACTGTTTAATAGCATTTCTTAAAATAACGATTGAATCTTGATGAAAGAATCTAATAAAAACACAAGAAAGCCAAGTAGGGTGAAGAAGATTTGATTTAAAAGAGGAAAAAATCAATTTATCCAATTCTTGAAATATCTGAGAAACGATGTGAACTTGTGTGCCCTCGAGGATTTCAATAACGATGAACAGCGTATGAAATGTCTCAACAGAGTTTCTACATTTACCGTCAAACCAAAACAACTCTGTTTGCACGCATTCTTGTAAAGTCTCAAGTTCGTATATGTAACGTTTCAGGATGTACAGGGCCATTTTTCTTATCATGCGGTTGTCTTTGGATATTGATATTTGCACGATTTTCCAGAATGAAGTCTCGTTGTAGAGCATGTATGACGTTACGGTGTTCTGCACGGATATGTAGTTATCTCCTAGGTAGCATATGACAGCCAGGCCGCGCAAGATCTCCTCCTCGGACCCTCTCGACAACTTCGATTCGACTTTAAGCCATAATTTTTTGAGCAGAGTGCTGTCCTGTTCGAGCAATATGATCTGGCCGAACAGCTTCAAGCATTGTTTCAAGATGACCGAAGGCAGTTCAAAGACTAAATTTAAAATTCTATCGGCCAGGTAGAGAGTTTCAAAATTCTGGTACGGTTCGAGCAGCCTGATCGAGTGTCCGATTTCCCTAAGTTCGAGCCTGGGCAGGACGTTCAGCTTCAGGTCGCACACGGCCAGAGAAAAGTTAATCGCAGTCCCTAAGACGATCAGGTTGAAATCTTTAGGACTTTCGTCGAACCCTTTGAAAATGTACTTGACGAAATTGTTGACGGCGGTTTCCATCTTGGCACTTGTGAATTTTATGGTGTAATCGACGAAATAGGTGAGCAGGAGTGAAAAACGACCCAGGTAGTCGTGGTCGACGTTGTCGTACACGAACTGAAGACTCAGATCCAGGATGTTCTCGAAACAGACGATCTTCGTCTCGGAGACAGAGGCGTCGTTCTGGATGAGATAGTTGACCACTTTGAACTTCTTCGTGATCTCCTGTTCTACGAAATCCTTCTGCTGGAGGGACGAGATCAAGTCCACCATGAACGTAACGTAGTTCTCCTCTCCCAACAGTTTGCATATCTCTGAAAGCTCCGGGCCCGTCAATTCTAAAAGAGTGCTTTTTTGCATCTTACAACTTTAAAAAAGCATGCCAATGAGTTACGAGAGAAATAACCGGCCTAATGATGAAAAATCACCGACCACGTGTCCACCAAGAAAGTAAACAAAACTAAACGGAAGGTTATAAAACTGTTACTGATAACTTATCAATAATAAATAAACTTATTTAATAATTAAAATATTTAAAAAACTAAAAATATATAAACTATTATATTTTGTAAATTATATTTTCATTTGAAACAAAAAAATATTTAATACTCTAAAAATGAGCCTTAGAACAATTAATAATTTAAAACATTGAAAACTTGAATGCTATATGCTTCTACATTCTCTATGCTATTTTATAGAATTAACCATTATTTTTATGAACGAAACATAATGAAATTGATTAATAAAGGGCAAAAGGTCGTTAATAAAAAGGATCAATACGTAATTGCCCAATATGTGTTTAATTGCACTCATTAAAACATAAGGAAACTATTTATCCAACCTTTAGATAACTAATATAATTGAGCTCATTCGAGCTCCCCTGCAGTTTTTAAACCTAGTCATAGGTACGCTTTCATTCATTCATAAACGAATTCTTAGGTAGCTTAAGACGACTCTTCTTCGGGTTGTCTAGTGTCAGGCAGCTGTCAAAACATTATTTAAGCCTCCCAGCACAAGCAGTTTTTTAAATCTAGATACTCTCATTCGTTTTTTCCTATTTACACTACCTATTTACTCAAATAGAGTTTTGGAGTATTCGATATTCCTCCGCCTTTACATTATAAAACTAATCAAATTGCTAGTCAATGGATAGCTCATTCCACACTACTCGTTCACTCTAATAAATACTTTACTTTCAATATATACAAAACGGAACAAAATCTATATTAACTCTCCGAAGTATATTTGAAACTATTATATAATTTTAATAGGTTTTGTGTGTAAAATAAATATTAACGGTTTAAAGAATTTGTTTTTCCGAACATTTTTATTGAACCATTTATCATTTTATTTTTTGTTTAAAGATTTTTATGTATTTTCTGCTATTGACATCATTAATTACTTTTAAACGTTTTTCGTTGTTGTTTATTTATAATTTTTTTAAGGGTGAAGTTTAAATAGCTATTTTTTTAAGACTGATGATAGCTCTAATTGATTGATATGCGTGATCAATTTTAAAAAAAGGAGCAGAAAGTGAAATTCAACTTAATTCCTGATTAATTTGTTTTTCCGAACATGTTTTTAATTTTTATTTAAACGTTTCATTAGTGTTTATTTTTTGTTTAATGGTTTTTATGTATTTGCTGCTATTGACATCATTAATTATTCATTAATTACTTATAAACGTTTTTTGGGTATTTATAATTTTTTTTAATGGTGGAGGTTAAATAGCTATTTTTTTAAGACTGATGATAGCTCTAAATGACTGATATGCGTGATCAATTGTAAAAAAAAGAGAGCAGAAAGTGAAAGTCAATTTAATTCCTGATTGATTTGTTTATCCAAACATCTTTTTATTTAAACATTTCATCAATTTTTGTTGAAAGATTTTTATGTATTTGTTTCTATTAATATAATTAATTATTCATTAATTACTTTTGAACGTTTTTTGTTTAATTATAATTTTTTAAGGATGAAGGTTAAATAGCTGTTTTTTTTACACTGATAATAGCTCTAAATGATTGATAAGAGTCATCAATTTGTAAACAAAGCAGAAAGTGAAAATGTCAACTTAATTCCTGATTGATTTGTTTATCCAAACATCTTTTTATTTAAACATTTCATCAATTTTTGTTTAAAGATTTTTATGTATTTCTACTATTAACATCATTAATTACTATTAAACTTTTTTTGTGTGGATTTATAATTTTTTTAATGCTGGAGGTTAAATAACTGTTGATTTAACACTGATAATAGCTCTAAATCATTGATAAGAGTGATCAATTGTAAACAAAGAAGCAGAAAGTGAAAGTCAACTTAATTCCTGATTGATTTGTTTTTCCGAATGTTTTTAATTTTTATTTAAACATTTCATCAATTGTTTATTTTTTAAAGATTTTTATGTATTTGCTACTATCAACATCATTAATTACTTTTAAACGTTTTTTGGATATTTATAATTTTTTTTAATGGTGGAGGTTAAATAGCTGTTTTTTTTAACACTGATAATAGCTCTAAATGATTGATAAGAATTATCAATTTGTAAACAAAGGAGCAGAAAGTGAAAAAGTCAACATAATTCCTGATTGATTTATTTATCCGTACTATCTTTTAATTTAAACATTTTATCAATTTTTGTTTAAAGATTTTTATGTATTTGCTTCTATTAACATAATTAATTATTCATTAATTACTTTTGAACGTTTCTGTTTAATTATAATTCTTTAAGGATGAAGGTTAAATAGCTGTTTTTTAACACTGATAATAACTCTAAATGATTGATAAGAGTTATCAATTTGTAAACAAAGCAGAAAGTGAAAATGACAACTTAATTCTTGATTGATTTGTTTTTCAAGTCGATCTCAAATCGTAATCCAAGGCCTAGAAGCAAAGAGAGGAGATTGGATGAAATTGTGTTTTATTTAAAGTGAGTTTAATTGTGAGAAATCTCCCCTCCACGCTGTGTTAAATTTCACGTCCTCTCACGTTCACACTCACTCCTTCGCCACTGTACAGTGCGTGCACACGGCGGTACAACTCTCTGCGGAGTCACGGCCGTTATGTGACTCGGGGTTCTTTCCTCATAATTTTATGCTTCCTTTTTTCAACATGGAAGGGAAAAAGTTGATAAAATCCAAGTCCGGGTTTAGGATGGTCGCAGTCGACGAGACGAGGACGAGCCCACTATTCATCAACGAACCGCTATGGACTCCGGACAAAGAGGTATTTCGGACTTTTTACCTGGTTTTACTTGTAGAAATAACATAAACTATTGATTTCTTAACGCTTTTCCAGGCCACCAACTGCAGGCGATGCTCTGTTAAATTCGGCTTCACTACCAGAAAGGTAACATTGACCTGGTTTTTTTCTCTCGGCCTTTTTCGGAAAAATTAACATTTCAACCAATATTTACTCTTTAAACACACCAAAAGGTCGAATGATGACGATAGATAGATACTACAAAGCAGGGTTTGTGCTTTCCAAGCACTGCAGCCTTCTGGTTTATTATACTTTTCTAGTTCACTTACTCACAGGTGGGATTCGAACCCATGACTTTCAGCTAAACACATTGCTCTACCATTTGAGCTACCGTGACTTTGATCACAAATTTCCCATTTTGACTTCCCGTTTATTCCAATTGTAATGCGAAAAGTTTGAGGCATTGGCGAGCGAAGTCACAGTAGCTCAAGTGGTAGAGCTTTAGCTGAAAGTCTTGTGTTCGAATCCCGCCTGTGTATAATTAATTGTGTAAGTATATAATTAAGAATAAGTTGTTAAAAAAATTAAAAATTCAACAACTTTGCATCACACACCCGAATACATAAAAAAACCACACAACTAAATAATCCGATTTTTAGAATTTTTCAATTTGTGAAACTTTCAACAAGTGTCTGATTTAATTAATTATGGTTGTTTGCCTGAATTATTTACTTCTAAGGTTGAATTTTATGTGCTTATATATTCATTGAAACCTTGTTTTTGTGCCTGATGTTAAAATTAATATTTACTGACGATTACGTCAAATAAATTGCTCTTCTAGATATCAAAAAACTCAATAAATTTTGGTACAGGAAATTTTCTTTCCGCAGCACCATTGTCGTCGTTGCGGTTTTATTTATTGCAACAAATGCTCCGAAAGGATGCTCGACCTTCCGAGGATGTGCTTCATCGACCCAGTCAGGATATGTCTGAACTGCGAGGAAGAAACGAAACAGGAAAACCGTTTTTTCCAACACGACCTGAAAGTCTTGATGAACGGTAAATATTCGGTGTAAATATTTTATTCGGACAATTTGAACGATTCGTATATTCGCCAGGCGCCTTGTTTATACTCAACAACAACAAATCGTCAGACCTTCTCCTCCACTGCAAACTTTCCCTGGATCACAGGTTTGTATTTTAATTTAAACTGTAAACAATACTAGTAATTTATCTATAATTTTTTTTTTATAACTCAGGACCTTAGTGTTTGAAGGTTCTCAATTAAATCCAATTTTACTGGACGAAATCACCTACCTTTGCGTTGAAACGGATCAAAAATCAGGTAATGTTTCCTAACTACAGATTTTATACATGTAATTTTTTTTTTTTTTGTAAATTATTTATCAGGGAAATCAAATTTGGAGATTACTTACACTGAAGAAGGACAAGTGGAAAAAATATCTTTTTGTACGACAAAGGATATTCAAGAGAGGCAAGCAGGGAATGAATGGATGAAAGCCATGAAACAGGTGAATTGTTTATTTTTATTATTTACTCTTAAATTTATTTTCACTTTTCTTTGTTTAAAATATGCAAAACTTGTTCAATGCTTTCCCTAACTACAGCTTGGTGCTTCTTGAATTTAATCATTTTAAAGTAAGTTGACTCCACAATTTAGTTTATATAATTATTATTTATGTATTTTTGCTAAATCAATAGCTTTTTATTTAAAAAGAAATAGTACAGTACTGGTTTATCTTTAATTTGTAAAGCTAGTGTTTTTTTAATTTGAAGAAAAAAAAGTTGACAAATAAGTTCATTCAGTTTTTTTGTACTACAAGTTTAGCTGCTTTTGTTGTAGCGCTACCGACTAAAGCTATTGCACAGTTGAAAGATTTCAGAAACATTTTAGTAAGTTTTCTTTTTGAAATATTTCAGCCTGTAAAATATATAATATAGTAAGGGACCGCGGTAGCCGAGTGGTTTGAATGCTCAGCGTAATAAACTCTCGGCTCTTAAACCCTTTGGTCATGGGTCAATTCCTGCTGTGACCCCTGCCATTTTTTTTTCATGCTACTCTTCCCCCAACTATTTATTATGAAACAGACAATGGAATACATCCTCTAGCTAATATATGAGTCATAGGGTCGTAAGGCATTAAAAAATAAAATTAAAATAAACAATAATAAAAGGAAAAAGCTGTCACTTGTGTTATGAATTTTTCATAATGAAAAGAAATAATATGCTTTATGAGGTCAGGCCAGATTGTCTGAAGTTTTTTCTTTAGTATGGAATATGGTGTTAGGCAGGGCTTCCCCCTAAGTCCTTTATTGTTTGCTTTACTTTTAGACGACCTTCCCAGATTTTTTTAGAATACGATATAAAAATAGGAAGCACCATCATAAAAATTTTACTGTACGCAAATGATATTGTAATCCTGAAAAGAAATATTAAATTATTGGAAGCTTACTGTCAATAATGGAAACTAACTGTAAATCTCAAAAAGTCAAAAATATTACTTTATTTAGCTTTTTTGATAGATTCTAACGATCATGGGGGGGGGAGGTGTTAGGCAGGACTGCTCCCTAAGTCCTTTATTGTTTGCTTTATTTTTAGACGACTTTCCCCAGGTTTTTTGGAATGTGATATAAAAATAGGAAGGAAAAAAGGAGGAAGGAAAGGAAAATAACTGTAAACCTCCAAATGTCAAAACGATTACTTTATTTAACTTTTTATTGATTTTAACTAATATTTTCATTAATAACAATATTATTATTATTATATATTATTTTGTAATAGATACATATGTATATGCAATCCTGGTTTGATGACAGATTCTAATGACCTTGAGGGTGGGGGAGGTGTTAGGCAAGGCTTCTCCCTAAGTCCTTTATTGTTTGCTTTATTGTTAGACGACCTTCCCCAGGTTTTGGAATTCAATATAAAAATAGGAAGCACCATCATAAACATTTTTCTTTACACAGAAGATATTGTAATCATTGTGGAGAGCGCTTACACCCTGAAAAGAAATATTCAATTATTGAAAGCTTGCTGTCAATAATGAAAATAACTGTAAACCTCCAAAAGTCAAAACGATTACTTTATTTAACTTTTTATTGAGCAAGGCTGCTCCCTGAGTCCTTTATTGTTTGCTTTATTTTTAGACAACCTTCCCCAGGTTTTTTGGAATATGTTATAAAAATAGGAAGCACCATCATAAGCATTTTACTTTACACAGAAGGTATTGTAATCATTGTGGAAAGCGCTTACATCCTGAAAAGAAATATTCAATTATTGAAAGCTTACTGTCCATAATGGAAACTAACTGTAAACCTCAAAAAGACAAAAAGATTACTTTATTTAACTTTTTATTGATTTTAACTAGTATTTTTCATTAATAATGATATATTATGTATTATTTTGTAATATATATATGTATATGCAATCCTTGTTTGATGACAGATTCTAATGACCTTGAGGGTGGGAGAGGTGTTAGGCAGGGCTGTTCCCTAAGTCCTTTATTGTTTGCTTTATTTTTAATGACATTCCCCAGGTTTTGGAATTCGATATAAAAATGAGAAGCACCATCATAAAAATGTTACTTTGCATAAAAGATATTGTAATCCTGAAAAGAAATATTCAATTATTGGAAGCTTGCTGTCAGTAGTGGAACCTGACTGCCAAAAAAAAAAAAAAAAAAAAAAAAAAAAAAAAAAAAATACAGTACAAGAAAAAAACAAAAAAAACTTGGAAGGAACCAATTATTAATTATTATCTTGGAGGACCATGACGGCAGTGCAAGTGTTAATAAAAAGAGGATCAATGTTGATTAGTATGTACTATGTATATTAAATAAAATGCGCTTAATTGTGCATGTAAAGATTGAACGATCTTATTTGCCAACCTTGTTATAAATCATAATTAAAAATTCCTGTTTGTATAAATCAATTTTTATTTTTGTCAATATTTGTTTTTGTATAGGCTTTCAGGTTTACCACTAACAAAGTCAGGTGTAGCTGGGACCAAAACAGTTCGTCATCATCGTTGCTTTCGAGTTAAGATTGTTTCAATAATCTTTTAAGCTTTTAAATAATTGAACTTTCCTTTGTTTATCGATTTTCTTTAAATCTTGCGCCTTTTAATTATAAACTCTCAAAATATCTGGATGGGATTTAAAGTTAACTCTGATTTTAAAGATTTATTAAATTTGTGTATATGGTTAGTCATAAGATTTAGCAACTTACGCTCTCTTTTATTAAGTTTTCTTTTTCCTGTTGACTTGGCAGTTATTTAGAATGTATAAATATTCCAAACTAAAGTTTTTGGTTAAAGGTAACAAACTATTTTTTTTCTCAAGAGAAAATCCTTCATGAGAAGCTCAGCCCACCAATTGAGTTATATTTTTAAATATTTCTGACAAGAGACTGAGTTAACGCATTAATAAACTTAGAAAAAACTAATGACAGTTAGAAAATTGGACATTGTTTTTGCTCAGACCAAATCATAGTTGTTATTTATGAATTATTAAATTTTATTAACTTAAAATAACTTTGTTTTTAATAACTAATTATTGTTTAATTAATTTAATTATTTGTCTTTGAGCAGGGATGTTGTTAACATTGATTTTATGTTTGTTTCATATAAAATTGTTTAATTCTATTGCTTGAATAATAAGTAAATGTTAACCACATCTTGAAAAGACTGATTTATTTTCTTGTGCCTTAATTAAAACTATTATACATTTATAAAAAATATTTTAATGGATTGAATTTTTTCTGTTAGTTGTATGATGTTTAATTTTTTAAAAATGAAATTTTCCAAAAATTGTCAATTGTTTCTTTGAAATGTTTGAACCATATTGTTGTTTCTCAGGATTGTCATTTTACCATGTGATAGTAAATAGTGAGAAAAATGTTAAGTAAGAAGTACAAACTTGATCTTCCTCTTTCTTCTTCTTCTTTATTTTTTTGTTTTAATCTAAGGAAATGCTTTCAAACTTGTTTTACCTATGTAACGTTTACCATTCTCTCTATTTAAATAAGCCTTAACTTTATTTTAATGATACAATTTTATCGGAATTATTTAAGTATATGAAATTATAGTTTATGATGTTAATTACACATATAAATATTTTTATAAATATGTTATTTACTTGATCAACAATTTATTTAATCCCTATTAAAACCAAAATCTCTCTTTTCTTGAATCAAGTTCTATGATCAAAATACAAAAAGATAACTTTCCTGGTCTTTATGGAGCATGTTAATTAATTTAATAAATAATACATTGTTTAGTGGTCATAATTGACCATTATTAATTATCTGAATTACTTATTCTTTTTATCTAAAGTCTTGGTTGAGATGAAAAAATTAGTATCACGAGCAGGATTCGAACCCACGATCTTCGGCTCAAAATACCACTGCTCCAACCATTTTTTTTTTAAATTTAACCCTCCTTCCTAAGGGAGACCCTTATACCGGCGGACCCACCATACTTGAATCAAAAGGGTGAATGGCAGTTCTTAATTGGATAAATATAATAAGTGAATGTAATTTATTAGCATAAAAGTAGAGACCTCGAGGAATATTGAGGACCCAGGGGCAGTTGAATGAAGTAGGGTCCGTGAAGGTAATTAATTTGCGTGAATGGTAGGAATTCTTCCTCATGAACCCTGATGAATATTGAATATGTTGGGCATTGTGAATGAAGTCTGGTGTGGAATGTAATTTATTAGCGTGAATGGAAGGGATTCTTCCTCAATAACCCTGATGAATACTTTGGGCAGTTTGAATGAAGACTTCTGTGTGAATATAATTTATTAGCGTGAATGGAAGGGATTCTTCCTCAAATAACCCTGATGAATACTTTGGGCAGTTTGAATGAAGTCTGGTGTGGAATGTAATTTATTAGCGTGAATGGAAGGAGTTGAAATAAAATACTCGTTATTTCTTTATAAAATGTATTTCTCCTAAAAGCTACTTTATAAACAACAAATTAACTTATATTTTGTACAAAAACTTTACATAAAAACATCCAATTTATAATTGGTTGAAGGAGTACAACTGTCCACAAACAAAATTCTTTTGATAAACAATATGGCTCTTTAAAGGACATTTTGAATATCAAACATTAAAAAAAGAAAAGAAAAATGTGATAATAATTGTCAAATGGCACTAAAATTGGAATGTTGCCGTTTTTTTTCAGAATTACAAAACTGTACAATTATCACAGTTGTTTGATTACACGTGGCATTTTATTTTAAATTAATTAATAAAACAAAAATCTAATGGTAATAAATGGCAAGCAATTGTACGGCACTTGGATCAAGGTACGCCTTAAAAGTAGAGTGTGTTATTTTTAATTAGGCTGTTGATCTTTTATAAATAAATTGAGCCTTTTATTCATCATATATAAAAAAAAACTGTTAGTTACTGATCATAATATTTACGATCTGGAGTAAACTTTATTTTTTTTTTATATCCGTTTGTTTTTTTTATCTACAGTATACTTTAGTTTTGATTAATTACTTTAAACATATTTACATCGAGACACTATTTACGATTTTTAAAACTTCGACTCGTTTAAATATGACAATCACAATAACAATGTACAAACAATTTCGTGTTATGTATAAAAATTATATACACATTTCAAGCCAATGAACTTCACGTAAAAAAATTTTCTACTTGAATCGTCTTGATGCCAAGAAAAATTTACCGATACAGTCCGTGCTGTAATTTGTCTTGGCGGATTAACACTTTTTTAAAAAAAGAAGTTCAGAAGACTCGACAACAGATACTAAATTTCAATAAATAATATCACTTTTAAATTACACTTTGAGGAATTCTACTCTACAGCATCTTTTAAAAATGTCCTAATTGGAAAGTGACTACTATATCCTTAATTCAGTGTCTGTTGTTCTTTGCCTTACGTGGTGCGAACTAGGATGCCTCGGGGTCACTATAGGTGACAGCGAAGGGGAGGTAGCTAGGGGCGATAACGCCGGGGAAAAGCTGGGCGACATTGCCGCAGACGTGCCGAAGACGGCTCCGTTCCCGTCGTGGTTGATCGGGGAGCGGGGTAGAAGGTGGATTTTAGGGCCTTGGTGCTTCAAGGGTGGGTGATGACTGCCCCTTGCCGAAAGCACCGGAGCCGCTATCGACCTGGGAGCGACGGAAGTGAGCAAAGGGGGAGGAACACTTTTCACCGAAGGAGGACACTTCCCTTTACCGCTCGATGTACCGCTGGTACCGCTTTTGACCGATGCCGCGTCGTCTTTCAACCTGGCGATTTCCGAAAATACGTGAGCAAGGGGTTGGTACTGCGGCCCCCAGTCCAACAGATAATCCCAATTGTAGCTCCCTGTCAGTTCCTCTTCGCTGTGGACGATGGAACTCAGAGAACCCGTCATGGACGGTTGGTGTGTCGCCACGGGCACTCCGCCGTACGCCCCGATCCCGATGACGTGATCGACAGCGGGTCCTAACGGCCCCGCAGAAGAACTGTTCCCTTCTTCTCCACTGCTGCACCTCTCGCTCTCTCCAACATCCGTCAATTTGGCATAGATGAGATTCGTGATGTCCGCTTCCGCCGTGCCGTCTTCGTCGTACATCCTAAGTCTGTCGATCGGCACTCCCGCATGGAGCATTATGTCTTTACTGCTGCCTGCGCCGACACTGTCCGTCCTTCTTCTCGAATTAGCCGAATTGTTGTTGGTATTTACAATGCCCAATCGTGCTAAATACTCTTGGGTGTTTTGGACGGATACGTCTGACATATTATCGTCGGAGGACCTATGGAGTCCACCTTCCCTCTGTATGCCTTCGTTTATCATCCGGATTTCTTCGTCTTCTACGTCGTCTCCGTCTTCAGCAGAACCCCTTCCGCTGGATCCGGATTGGTCGGATCCCGAAATCTGTGAGGTAGTCGCTGCACCCGAGTTGGAACTGTTCGACTTGTTCCTGTAAGTAGGGATGTCTTCGTATTTCGGAGGGCCGAACTGACTCGCAGGCCCGGCGATGCCTCCTCTCACTGGTATCGTGTCGAAATTACTCGGGTCTACATAATTATCCTGGCTTTGAACCGATCCTAGTCCCGACTTGTTGACATTTTTCTGCCTTCTGTTTCTCATGTGTAAAAATAAGAATACAGCACCGAAGCACAATATGACGATAATCAACGATATCAAAAGTCCTATGGCCCAATCTGCGACTTTGCTCGTCGACGCTGCCAACGCTGTATTATTCCCTTCTTCGCCGTTAACGAGGTTCGTTTCGAAATGAGCCAACGGGTCTAAACTGATTTCCACCACTGACATATTCGTTAAAGAATCTTGCCTCCCTGAACTCGCTCTAACGACAAAACTGACTTCCTGCTTCGTGTTCAAATTGCTGTCCAATTTCTTTTTGATCATGACTGCTCCAGTTGTACGGTTGACTTTGAAATAAGCGTGCTGGTTCGTCAGTTGGTAAACGATTCTTCCGTCTGGGCCTTTATCACGATCCGTCGCTACTACGTTTCCTATGACAAAACCTACAGGCAGGTCTTTACCGTTGACAACAAATCTATAGGTCCTTTCTGTAAACTGCGGGTAGTATTCATCTCGGCTTTCTATCTCTACTCTGACTTTGACTCTTGCTATTTGAGCACCGTGATCCGTCGCTAGTAAGGTGAACGCGTATCTGGAACGGAGCTCGTAGTCGAAAACGGCGTTTGTAGTTACTAAACCAGATGCCGAATCGACTTTGAACATTTTCCAGGATTCGTCTACGTCTCCGTATCCAGCCGAAGAAGCCGTTTCTATAGAATAATTCAACCTGCCGAAAACCCCTCTGTCCAGATCTGTAGCTCTAGCTGTAAACACTGTCGACCCTATTGGTTCATTTTCTCCTACGAACTCTAGATATTCTGTGACGGGGAAATGGGGAGCGTTGTCGTTCTCGTCGTCTAGTACTATTTTCAAGGATGTCACGGATCTCAGAGGACGGTCGGGCGTTCTCGCTCCGTCTGTCGCTCCTATGACTAGTGAATATTCAGAAAATCCTCTATCGAAGTCCAATTTCTTATCGACAGAAAGAAGACCAGATGTGGAATCAATTGCAAACAGGTTTTCATCATTTCCCGACAGTATGTCAAACCGGACATCGGAATTGGGTGGTAAATCTTCGTCCATTCCTTTCAGATGAGCGATTGAGTAGCTCACAGGTACATCTTCAGACAGGTGAATTACATTCGAAAAAGAGTTAAAAACTGGTGAGTTGTCGTTAGAATCTTCAACAATAACGTGAACAGTGGCGGTTGTCGAATTTTCCGGCCCTTGGGTAACTTTAAGTAAATAAGAATCGAGTTTCTCTCTGTCCAGATACTTTACAAGCACCAGCTCTCCAAAAGGGCTAAAATAAAAATAAATTATTACATAAAGTTTTTAATAATTTTGTATATGTAACTCACCTTAAAATCTGAAAAGTATTGTTCACATTCCCTTCTACTATAGTAAAATAGGTTTTATAGCTGTCTTCATTCATGTTGTTCGTCATTTTCAAAAGTGTTGTTCCAACCGGCGTGTTTTCTTTAGTCGATATTCTACAAAATAAAATTTAAATATTATACGAATTAAAACATAAATGACAGGGAAAAACGGAAAACTTTGCTCACCTGTATTCTGTTTGGGTGAAAGTCGATTTGCTCGACCCTGCGCTTCCAATGTTGATTCTAATGGTCACAACGGAAGATAGACTTGGTTTCCCCGAATCGGTAGCTTTGACCCTTAGGTTTATAGTTTTCTGCTGTCCTTGAGGTATATCCATAGCCGTCCTATTTGAGGAGAGGACGCCCGATTTTTCGTTGATGAAAAATCCAGGGTGTGGTTCCAAAAGGGAATAAATGATTTTGGCGTTTTTCTCAGAATCGAGATCGACAGCATTGACTGTCAAAACGCTATAGGAGTATTCTGAGTTTGCTGAAAAAGATCAATTATTTTAGTACGTTTTGTATTTTTAAGGTAGATTTTGTGTTCTTTGGAAATTACCAGGAATTGTAGCGTGGTATGATGGTTGTGTGAATTGTGGAGGATTGTCGTTTCCATCGGTAACTAATATAGTCAGCATGGTGGTTGCTGTGTGCGCCGTGTCTGATGCCATTATGTTCAGTTTGTAAGATTTCTTCCTCTCGTAGTCCAATTTATGACACAAAGTCACTTTCCCGCTGAACCTATCGATGCTGAAATTGCCGTCGGAGTCGGATAAATTGTAAGTAAGAGCCGGATTGGTGTCGACGTCGTTTGCGGTGATAGATGTAAGTACGCTACCGACTTCTTTGCCCTCGTTTATTGTAATGACACTATGCGGTGGGAAAGTGGGCTGGTTGTCGTTGACATCGACGATGTTGACCAAAATGGTAGACGTTCCCGTAAGTTGAGGCATGCCTTCGTCAGTAGCTATGACGGTCAGTTTGTAATTGTCTCTGATTTCTCTGTCGAGAACGATGTTCATTTTAACGATTCCAGAAGAAGACGGCTCGATGATGAAGGCGTTGTCGTGGTTCCCTTCGACGATGTGATAAAGCAGTTGCGAATTGGAACCTTGATCTATGTCCGTAGCCGAGACTTGCATGACAAACGTCCCTTTGTTATTTCCTTCCCACACGGTAGTAGAATATTGAGATTGGGTGAATTTCGGCGCATTGTCGTTCAGGTCTATAAGATTTACGTTGACCTGCGCGTATCCGAACAAGGGCGATCCCATCGGTGAATCCGCCTGGGCTTGAACCGTCAAGCGGATCTGCGGGTTGACTTCGTAATCGAGCGCTGCTGAATTTCGTACCCTGATCATACCCGTCTGACTGTTAATCTCGAATTTAGATTCTTCATTTCCAGATACCAAACTATAAGTGATCTTTTGCCTGCGCCCATCCGATCGAACTGCCGATACCTGAAACAATATGAAGTTTGTATCAATAAAGTCAAGAAAGCGATGTAAATTTCCATGAAAAATAAACTTACTTGGACAACTTCGGTCCCTGCTGGAGAATTTTCTGGAATTTGTTCCGTGTAGGTAGAATTTGGGAATCTTAAGTTAGGACCGTCTAGACCTTCTCCTACTTTAATTTCAATCAGGCTGGAGGCGCTGTGCGGTGGATTTCCTCTGTCGGTGGCCAGAATTTCCAGATGGTATATCCTTCCGTTTTCCATGGCTAGGCTGGAGGTCGTGGTGACGATCCCGCTTTTTGGATCCATCCTGAATTTGTTGCTCGGAGGCTCGTTGAGGAAACTGTAGACTATGTCGGCGTTGGTGCCCTCGTCGGCGTCCGTCGCGGTAACTTTGAGCAGTTCTTTACCGGAAGGGTTGTAAGACGGGACTTCGGCGATGAAAGGATACTGGGAGAAAACCGGCTTGTTGTCATTTACGTCTTCTATGGTGATTTGAACGGGCACTTTCTGAGATCTGGCGTCATACCGGCCGCTATCGGTTGCCACGACTTGAAATACGTAAGAACTGTGTTTCTCTCGATCAAACATCCTATGAAATACAGAAAAAAACATCAGTTATGTCATATCAAAGAAAAAACTAAAATGATTAAACATCAAATTAAGTTGATATTCAAGAAAAACGAAAGGCATTGTCAAATTAAAATCTTCTTAAAAGCAAAGATAGTCTTTTAAGGGAAGGTACATAGCTATAGTCCATTTTTAAGGTGTTCAAAGAAATCTTTTGGTTTTTCAGCTTGGCTTACTTCAGGCTTCTTTTTATTATCACTTTAACAAAGCGTCATTATTTAAAATAGGGCGAATATCGATGAGGGTAATAACAGCCTGAGGAGTCCTGTCACCAGCTTGCATACTACCGTCGTCTCACTGGGCAAATGTTATTCTAATGACAGGAATATTTTATGCCCGCCGTCCATCTGGTTTCATAGTCAAAAGGGAATACGTTTTAATACTCACCCAGCCGTGAAGATGTGTCCGGTGTCTGGGTCGATCCTGAACAGAGCCTGGCTCTCGTTCGCTAGCGAGTAGACGATCCTGGCGTTGAGTCCTTGGTCTTGATCCTGGGCGGTGACGTTCAAGACTAGAGTGCCGACTGCGGTGTCCTCTTTTACCCGGGCAACGTAGAGGGTCTCGGCGAAGACGGGGTCGTTGTCGTTCTGGTCTTCGACGGTAACGGTCAAGTTGCAAATCCCGGCCTTAGGAGGGCTGCCCTTGTCCTGAGCGCTCACGACCAACCTGTACCTCGACTGTACCTCTCTGTCTAGGGACCTCGCGCTCAACTCACCGCTATGCAAATCAATACTAAACCTGTTTCCAACATTTCCACCTAAAACGACAAAAAAACACTTAAATATTCCTATACGGTGAAAAGTAAGCCCGAAAGATCCTTTTGGATACAAATCAAAATATTTTGAAGATTTAGAGCATTGCTGGGCTTTTGAAGGCACAATTTGTCATGCCATAAATATTGTAACTCTATAGCGCTATAATGCAGAAAAAAATGACTCAGGAATTCAAGAAAGATGACATAAACATGTAGCCCGGATGAATAATAACCGATCGCTGGAGATAACCGAGCAAAATCTGACAAAAGGTGAAAAATAAATTATTTCTGAATTGCGAGAGTTTTTAAAATATAAACTTTTATTTGTAATAAAATTTTTAATATATAGCGAAATTTACTTCTCTCGATTATTTTTGTAACAGGATAGTTGATATTTGTTATGTAAAATGAAGTACAGTTATTAATTAAGTACTCACCGATGATGGTGTAAGTGATTTCTGAGTTAGGTCCAGAATCTTCGTCGTAAGCCTGGAGCCTGTGGATAGCGCCGAAATCGCTGTTTTCTGGAACGGCGAGGGAGTAGCAAGCTGGAAATTTTGGAGCGTGATCGTTGACGTCCGTGACGGCGACGTAGACGGAGGAGGTAGAATAGTGCTGTCCTTCTGTCGCATACACGACCAGTTGGTACGATTCTCTGACCTCTCTGTCGAGCCCGTTCGAGACGGTGATCACACCAGAAAACTGGTCGATTCGGAAATTCTCGCTACCCAGCCAATATGTCACGTTGCCCCCTTCTGTTAAAAAAAAAGGAAAGGGTAAATAACGAGGCAGAAACGATGATAAGGTTTGAAGAATAGTCTCGGAGTCGTTTAAAACGTAAGAACATGTACTTAAGTACCCGAAGACGAGATACAAGAATAGCATGGAAAGGCGAGGGGTGGAAAAAGGAAAAGGTAGAGAAAAGAGAGACAAAGTCCATGATGAATGGGTGCATTGTGTATCTAAAAAGAGAGGGAATGCGAGTTAAGAAGAGAAAGGAGATACTCAAGGAACGGCAAAAGGTGGTGTCAACTTTGTCGAGGAATCCGCCGAGGAACTATTATTATTAATTCAATTCCCTGATGCTTATTGTAATTATTACGATTCTTGCGTGAAATACGTTCAAGTAAGAAATAATTTACAATCCGGGTTATAAAGGCTTTTGTCGCCCTCTGCACATCCAAGTCCACATTCCATTCCACGACGTTTATCTTTATTCTCCAGGCCCTCGATCTACCGTTCTGTTTGCCGAAAATAATCAATTTTCTTCTTTTCCCTCATGTCGCAGGTTTATTCAATTACTTTGAGATTTTATTTCTCCCCGGCGATATGAATTCTTTTGGCCTCATGAGATCTCTCGGGATCTCATGGTAAATCGCGTTTTTATCTTAATCTCTTGACTTAACGATTGTTGGGAAGATTGTCTTGTCAAAATTAAATATCTCTCTCACATTTCAGCCACCTTCTATTTTTTTATAGTACTTAAGAGATATACAATTCAATGATCTGACATTGCTGTTTTCAGCTTGGCGCAGTATTTATTTATTCACTAATTTTGGATAATCCATGGTATATATATATATAAAAAGGCGCATATATAAACAAACAATTTAAAAAAAAATTAATATCAAAGTAAACCTTTCTAACTTCGACCTTTGTTAACCACTGTCGGTTCCCAGACCCCGCGGTCGTGCGTTCGATTCCAACCGTCGCCCTGGCCCTTTTTTCACGATACCCTTCACCCCCTCTCTCTCGCTCCCTCTCAGAAAAAATTATACGCCCTTGGCTAATTTGCAAGACCATAAGGGCAAAAAATATGTTCTTTACACATAGTCGGCGATTTTTGGAGGTCGCAACGGCTTAGGCGTTGACATAGCTCTCATCATTGTAAGGTAAAAATCTTAAGGTTCGACTCCAGGCCCTACATTTGAACCCGATTTTAGTGACTGGGAGTTTTGTGGCCCCCAACCTGATGGATTGAGGCCGGAACCGTGTGCATGAGCCGTTGGTGGTGGTCCGTGACAGAGTGAACCGTTGGCTGAGGTCCGGGGGCCGTGAGTCAGTTGGCTCCACAGAGGCTGAAGGGACTCGAGTGGAGCAATAGCCGAGAGCAGCAGTTGGCGTTTATAGCCAAGTCGGCAGTGTCTAGAAGGCGAGAATCAGGCTAATGCTGAGTACCCTTGCTGTCGACGTTGCCAATGACGGTGACGGCGTTCCATTAATACCTCGTCTGTTGTAACAACACAATCGTCGTTGTTGATTACTGTTAGGTGAGATCTCGTCGGGCTGACAAGTCTGAAGTCTGCCGTCAGTGCCCCTGCTTATATTCGGAAGGGCTGCAGAGTGGAGGGCGAGAATATTCCATAAGCGGTAATGGCATCTTGCGGAACTGTACGTGGCCACTACACCGATATATAAGGGTTCCATATAAAATATGTCATCGTAAAATAATCCTCTCTGTAAGGAACCAAGGCTTCCTATGCGGGACATAACTAGCAACTATGACAACGACGTGGTTAACTACAGTAGTGGTCTAAATGTTAACCGAACGGAATATGAACGTAAGTTAGTATACTGACGGCTCCAAAGCCGACAAGGGTACGGGAGCTGGGGTCTTTGGGATGAACCACAAGACCGAACTGACGGTAAACCTAGGCAAGTTTTCCAGTCTGACATCTTAGCGATCGAACAATGTGCCAGAGAAAAAGGCTAGGAAAACATTCCCGGAAGATAGCCTTTTTCTCTGACAGGCCGACAGCTCTCAGGGACTTAGCCTCATGCGAGGCGAAGGCAAAGAGTGTTTGGAAATGCATGGAGGCCCTGACGGAAGTCAGCGGCACTAATGACCTGACCCAGGCTTGGGTCCCTAGACATTCGGGGCATAGAGGCAACGAAAATGTTGACATGCTGGCCAAAAAGGGAGCCCCGGTTATGGGCCCAAAACCCTACTGCGCCCTTGCAGCCTGCGTCAAAAGAGGATAATCTTAAAACGATGGAACATGAAAACACACCCTGGGCCAGATGTTAAGTTACGGTGACTGATCCAAGCTAAGCCTGAAGTTCCGTGCTACCAGAATTCCTTTTTCTCATATGAGAAACTACTTGAAACCCTGACCAACAATTTTTTCGTTTTGTAAATAAGAGTCTTACCAACTCTTCTCGAAAAAATGTAATACAACCTTTCTCGCGGTACCTCCGGCTATGGCCCCAGGAGCACAGGTGCCCGTGCGTCAACCGCGTATGACCTATTCTTAATCGGGTATAGACGGTTGTTGGTTTCGCTCAACTTCTCGAAGAACCATATCCAGGCTTGACACGCAAAAGCCAAAAAGAAAAAAATTCTTGATGTTCTAAAATTTCTAACGCTTAGAAAGATCAGTTTCTTTGTTTCTATGTTTTGTATAATAGTGAATTATTTCATACCATCTGTGACCATTCCATACTGGAATGATATATTTATACTTTGCGTCAATTTACAAGAATGACTTATTTTATGTAAAACCCTAATTATTTACGTCAGTTAAATCAGTTGTTATTTGATCGAAAAAAACAACAAAACTATGTATCGTAATCCATTTATGTTTAGTGGCCTGATTGACCGTGTTAATTATTTCAATTAATTATTCTTTTTTTATGTAAGGTCTTGGTTGAGATGAAAAAGCTAGCGTCATGAGCGGGTTTCGAACCCACGCCCTTCGGCTCAATACGCCGCTGCTCTAGCCACTTGAGCTTTAGTGACTTCGGTCCAGTCGGACATCAACTCCCCATCTCAATCTACAACCTTTCGATTTTCCTTCTATTTGTTTTAATTTAGGTTGTAGATTGTAATCCTGATGAAGGCATAACAGGAAAAAAACTTGAATACAATTTTTGATTTTTTCCCGAATACTCGGCACGACATCAGAAGGCCGATAATTAAACATATCAAAATATCTTTGATTAAAGGATTCCACCAAATCTCTCTGATTATCTTTTGGTCTCCGTCCAAGAATATGCTTTAAATCTATCCACCCCGGTTCGAATTAAAGGCCAGATACAGTGGATCGGAGTTAGCCCCCTTGGTCCGCAAAACTAAAAACCCTTTTCTCCTTTAAAACCGAACCAAGGGAGAAAAATCTCAATGTTTAACGTTGTTAATTCATTTTCAGACCTGGGGAACAAACGGTGCAGAGCTGAAATCATAAATTACCAGATTTTATCTATCGGAAGAGGGAGCGAGAAAGAGAAAAGGGAGCTGGAAATAGGAGAATTCACCTCATGAAAAGTATTTTATTACTCTATTTCCCACATGCTCAACAGCTTTGAAACGTCCTTTAACCGTTATATCGTTTGTTATTAACTAGGTATTTTCTTTAGTACTTGCAACGTTGGTATTTTTAATCACTTCTCGTAATACAAACAATTTAAAAGTCTGTCAACTTATCCCGACTTGTTGAACACTACGACAGCCTTTCCGCTTTCGCATGCCCGTGTCATCAATTAAACAGAGATAGTTGTAATTTATAATTTATTTGTATCTAAAATTAAATAATTAGCATCAGAGAGGAAATAAATAATGCCTTTAACGAGCTAATTGGATGGGATTTAGATTTTTCATTTTATTTTTTGATGTATGGTCTCTTTACTTTTGACTTTTCATTTTGATAAATCTAATTTTTTTAAATTTTTCATTATACAAAATACGAAGGAATTGAAGAGAAAGCATTTGAAAATGTATTTAGCTTTTTCCTTTTATTTTTTATGTATAGCCTTTTTTTACTTTTCACTTTGATAAATCTAATTTTTTTAGTTTTCATTATACAAAACAAAATAAGAAGGAATTGAAGAGAAATTATTTGAAAATGTATTTCGATTTTTCCTTTTGTTTTTTGATGTATAGCACTTTTGACTTTTCATTTTAATAAATCTAATTTTTTTTTAGATTTTTCATTATATAAAACAAAATACGAAGAAATTGAAGAGAAAGTATTTGAAAATGTGTTTAGGCTTTTTATTTTATTTTTTGATGTATAGCCTTTTTTTTGTACTTTTCACTTTGATAAATCTATTTTTTTAAGATTTTATAGCCTCTTCACTTTTGACTTTTCATTTTGATAAATCTAACTTTTTTAGATTTTTCATTATACAAAATAAAATACGAAGGAATTGACGAGGAAGTATTTGAAAATGTATTTAGCTTTTTCCTTTTATTTTTTGATGTATAGCCTCTTCACTTTTGACTTTTCATTTTGATAAATCTAATTTTTTTTACATTTTTCATTATATAAAACAAAATACGAAGGAATTGAAGAGAAAGTATTTGAAAATGTGTTTAGGTTTTTCCTTTTATTTTTTGATGTATAGCCTCTTCGCTTTTGACTTTTCATTTTGATAAATCTAACTTTTTTAGATTTTTCATTATACAAAATAAAATACGAAGGATTTGACGTGAAAGTATTTGAAAAGGTATTTAAATTTTTCCTTTTGTTTTTTGATGTATAGCACTTGACTTTTCATTTTGATAAATCTAATTTTTTTAGATTTTTCATTATATAAAACAAAATACGAAGGAATTGAAGAGAAAGTATTTGAAAATGTGTTTAGGTTTTTTATTTTATTTTTTGAAGTATAGCCTTTTTTTGTGTACTTTTCACTTTGATAAATTAATTTTTAAAAAAATTTTCTATATACAAAACAACATCGAAGGAATTGAAGAGAAAGTTTTTGAAAATGTATTTAGCTTTTTCCTTTTATTTTTTGATGTATAGCCTTTTCACTTTGGACTTTTCATTTTGATAAATCTAATTATTTTAGATTTTTCATTATATAAAACAAAATACGAAGGAATTGACGAGGAAGTATTTGAAAATGTATTTAGCTTTTTCCTTTTATTTTTTGATGTATAGCCTTTTCACTTTGGACTTTTCATTTTGATAAATCTAATTTTTTTTACATTTTTCATTATATAAAACAAAATACGAAGGAATTGAAGAGAAAGTATTTGAAAATGTATTTAGATTTTTCATTTTATTTTTTTGATGTATAGCCTTTTTTTACTTTTCACTTTGATAAATATAATTTTTTCTTAATTTTTCATTATACAAAACAAAATACGAAGGAATTGAAGAGAAAGTAATTGAAAATGTATTTAGATATTCCATTTTATTTTTTCGTGTATAGACTTCACATTTGACGACTCATTTTGATAAATCTAATTTTTTAGATTTTTCATTATAGAAAAAAAATATGAAGAAATGGAAAGAAAGTATTTGAAAATGTGAGTCAACAGACATACTGATACAGAGGACAGGATAAAAATGAAGATTTGATTATGTTTGGGTAAGAATAATTATTTGATCTAAAAATAGGGAAAAAAAAGTTTGGATTTTATGTACAAAACACTTACCTTCGCTTGAAGATTTTGCATCCACTCTTGTGACAAAGCTCCCAATGGTGGCGTCTTCAGAGACGTTTGCATTGTAGACCATTCTCGAAAATTTCGGCGGCGATTCTGTTGTCCTTTTTACTGTTATTGTTATTGGAATGGTTGCGGATTTGGGCGGATTTCCATGATCGGTGGCCGTCACGTTTATGTTGTGTTTTGAACCGACGTCGAGAGGTCTGAGAAGGGTGAGATGACCTGTTTCGTAGCCGAGACTGAATTTGCCCTGGCTGTTGCCAGAAGTCACGTCGTATGTCACTCTGCCGTTCTCTCCTGAGTCTTTATCCGTCGCCAAGACTTGAACGACGACGGACCCGACTTCCATGCCTTCTTTGACGTAGACGTCTTTTGACTTGGGTGAAAAGAAGACCGGGGAGTTATCGTTGACGTCAGTGAGCCTGAGTCTCGCGGTGATGGTAGAACTCAGCCTGTCCGACTGATTGGCAGCCTGATCCGTCGCTCTAACGACCAAGGTGAATTCTGACACGTCGTCGAAATCCAAGGGAGAGATCAGGGTCAGGCTGCCGGTCAGCGGGTCCATGGAGAACATGCCGCTTTTGGGAAACGACGAGACTAAGCTGTAACGGACGTCGCCGTTCGGGGAGAAGTCCGTGTCGGTCGCGCTGAAGTTCCAGACGTTCGATCCGATCCGAAGGTCTTCGCGAACGTCGATGTCGATCAGGTCTTTTTCCCAGGTGGGAGTATTGTCGTTGACGTCGGTTATCTCGACTTTGATGATCACGGCGCTGCTCTGGTGGTTGATGGTCGTGCTCGTGTCCAAAGCCCTCACTTCCAACCGATATTCGGAACAACTCTCCCTATCGAGTTTTCTAGTTACGACGAGCGAGCCGGAGCTACGATCCAAATCGAACGCTGTTTCCTGGTCGGTTGGTGAAATCGACGTCAAAGTGTACATCAGATGTCCTGCCCTCGCTCTTCCTGAAACCAGGTTCGACTCGGTTCCTTCATTACCGATAACATTCCCGACCACGTATCCAATGTCTACAGCTTCGCTGACCTATAACACAAGAACTTGTTTAGATGCAATCAAAGGCAATTTAAAAGCATTAAATCGTTGTAGTACAACCCTCTTCCTACAAATATCCTCTACTATAGATTAGCAGCGGTTAGCACTTCTTAAATTTCCAACAAAGATTAAAATAATTATTTATACTCGTATTTTAATATATAAGGTAATGAAGGGGCGTCGGTGGCCGCAAGGTTTAGACTTTGACACGGCGCTCATCATTGTAAGGTAAAGGTCCCGGGTTCGAATCCAGGGCCCTGCATTCAAACCCGACATACTTACAAATGGGCTTTTTTCGTTAAAAAAAAAGAAAAAAAAAAGAGAGAGAGAGAGAGAGGGAGAGGGTGAGAGTGAGGGAGGGGAGAGAGAGATATGTTTCAATCAGTCGTGTGAAATTCTGAGATTTTTCCAGGGGCTAGGGGGTTGATTAGTTGTTAACGACCATTTTGATCTCTCCCATCTTTACTGTTTCAGTCAGACATCTTCACAGGCTAACCACCGAAGATGGCGAGAAGCCGAAGGGCATCAAGTATACCGAACTACTGTGAGATTTTTCCAGTGCGAGCTGGTTGATGAACCTGTTTACGATCATTTTTGACCGGTTTATCCTCGAGCAATTGGTCAGTTAATCTCACAGATTAATCACTGAAGATGGCGAGAAGCCTAAACGCGCTAGGCAGACCGAATATGATGGTAATGACCGAACTATAATTGTGTGCAATTGTGAGATTTTTCTAGACGCCAGCGGGTTGGTGAACCTATAGTTTCTGATCAATTTTGATCTCCTATCCTTGTTTTGATCAATCATCATCAAAGACCACTGAACATGGCAAAATAGCCGAAAATGGTACAACCAAACTATAAATGTGCGAAATTTTGAGATGATTCCATGGGCCACTGGGTGATAACTCGTTTCCGATTGTTTCGATCTATCATTACTGATTTAGTCAGCGATCTTCACAGACAAACCGCTGAAGATGGCGAGAAGCAGAAACGTCCGTGGCTGAAAAAAAGATCAGACCAAACTGCAACTGTGTGAAATAGATTTTCCAGGGCGAACGGGAAGAAGAATCGTTTTCGACCATTTTGATCTGCTCGTCTTCCCTGCCTTATTCAATCATCCAATCTGCATGACCCATTGATGATGGCGAGAACCAGAAAAGCGTCTGTAGACAAAAAAGGACAGGAAAGACCAAATTATAGTGGAGAATAGATTTTTCCAGGTACGAGTAGGTCGATTTTGATATACCTATCTTCGCTGATTTACTCAGTTATCCTTACAACCTGACCATTGAAGATGACGAGAAGCCTAAACGCGTCTGGCAGACCGAAAAGATCGGCAAGGACCAAACTATAACACTGGGAAATAGTGAGATTTTTCCAACGGCTAGGGGTTGATGGACTTATAGTTTATGATCATTTTTGATCTGCCCATCTTTGCTGTTTTAGCCAGTTATCTTTGTAGACCTACCACTGAAGATGGCTAGAAGCTGAAGTGTGTATGGCAGATCAAAACAGCGAAGATAGACAGAAAATGATCGGAAAGGATCAATCTATAACACTATGTGACTAGTAGGTTTTTCCAGATACCGAGGCTAGGCAGGTATGTCGTTTAAAAAAAATGATATGACAAAAGGTTATACATTGTGTGATTCGATGATAGGTGTCTGGAGATTAGGTCTCTCAGTCAGATTCTGCTTGAAGTTCGTACCCTGAATTTAACTGGTTGATTGATAGAAGTCGGTTGACATCCGCGCTACCCTAGGCGAAAATGCTTACCTAAAACTGGGTTAACAACACAAAGAGGACGGTCTATCAATCACCGACCTCATTCTCTCCATCTTCCTCTTTCACCTCCTTTCCCACCGCTTTACATCAATTGCACCGGCTCAAATTCCGACCGTGGTGCAATCCGAGTAATTTATACTTTTTGCCCTTTTCGGAAGCGGCGCTTTTATACGGTGAAAGTAGGTTTGATTTCGTTTTGATCGATGAAAATCCATATCCCGCGTGTCAAGTAAATGGGGTCGACTGTCCATCATCGGTTTCTTCTGGATCGCGGGCAACCGGTAGAAAAGAGATATCTATGCGTTAAAAATGCAGGCTGACTAGAATCAAAAGCATGGCCGAGAATGTAAAAAAAAAATTCCTGCAGTTTAATTATGTCAAAGAAACATCTGATATAATGTTCTGATGGAAAGGTAAGTTTCCTTAAAAGCTGTTTTAGTGAGTCGTGTACAATTAATTACATTTCTCACCTATTGCTCTTATTACAATTGTCCTTTTAATTCTAATTTATATGCATTAGATCAAATTAATTAACGAGGAATGGGCTAAAATGAATGTTCCTTTGATGTGATGTAAGAAAAAAGAATTTTAGGTTTATTTTCATAGGGGAAAAGCTGCAGAGGGAAGGAAATTTTGGACCACTCCGTCCGAGTCCTCGGAGGTACAAACCGAGTTTCAGTAAAAATCCGGTTAAGTACAAAAAGAAGAACTGTTTTTCTGTCTCTTTCTCAGCCAGCCCCTCTTCTCCGGCTTCGAGTCTTCTTTTTATTTCTTACTCTTCGGTTTGGAATTTCGGCGAGTCGCATAAATTTCCCGTGTCTTTCTGTCAGAAGTGTGTGGAGGAGCTGTGAAGTGCATATCAGGAGGGCTCACTTCAAGCCTTCTTTTTGGCCATTTTCTCGTATATTGAGCCAAACTCGGCCCAACGGAATTATTTACTCCGTACGGCTGTCAGAAGGTGAGAAAAGACACGAGGACGGAGGCGTTTATTGTCCTAACTGATCTCAAACAGGCATGACTGAAGAGTGGTCCGATAAAAACATACGGACGCCTTAAGTTCGCGATTTCCATTTCGAATACGCGGTCACATGTAAATTGTTTGATTTCCTCTTTGGGTCTGCGGAATGGTGAACCCGTAGTTGCGTCATTTCCGATCATTCTGTAAATTTGCATTGACCTGAACAAAAAGCCAACAACTTTAGTTTATCGGAAAACTGCTGACCTACTAAGAATTGCTTCATACCAGATGTGAAACGATTCACAGAGTAGTGATCATCATTCGGACTTTATTAACTATTAAATAATCAAAGCCTAAAAGTCTCTCTTCACAAAAAGATCCCTTATGGCAGATATGAAAACTGCAAAGAACCAAAGACATGTCAGAAGAAAAGTAAAAAAAGGCAGTTTCGACTGGTCGAGAGACTATGCATTAACGACCTGAAACAGAGCTCTCTTCAAGGATTCTAAATTTAAATAATTGATCCTGAAGATAAACTGCCAGAGGAGAATCTACAAGACTACATAGACACAGAAACTTTTATTGGGATAACAGACTCCACCATCCCAGAATGGTTCACACAAAAATGGGAAGTGGATAAACTCCAGAGGTGCCTTAGTAAACACATGATGAAGAACCCTCATCAAAACAGTGGTGTAGGCTTCATGTTAAAGGTGTCAAGTACTAGGGAAGGTAAACTCAAGGGGATTGATAGGGCTACATGCCTGTCATATTAGAAAACACCTACACTATATAAAATATGTATGATGAATGATACTGCTACCGATATCATCTTCGAATGCGAAACAAATTCTCAATGGTGACATAGCCTAGTGTACGAAGTCCTCCTACTCATAAAAAAAGGATCGGGTAAATTGTACCGACCTAAGAAACTAGGAAAAGTGCAATTACCCAGAAAACTGCAGTGCTTGGTAAATACCTGCTTTCTAGTATCCTCTTGTCATCATGTAGAAACAACCATCAGAAAAGGGTGGTTTTTTCTGGTAGATAATAAACGTAAAGAAAAGAAGAGGGCCCAGGACGGAGCCATGAGGAACGGAGTTTACTGGCAAAGCAGGTAAGGCAACCAATTTAGTTCTAAGCAGGAGAAACCAAAGTTTAAAACAAGTCCTCTTTACGCCCTTGCACACTGCGACCAGTATTGGTCTATTATGCCATTTCTGTTAAGCTGTTTTCCTCTTCCAGGAGTAAGGAATCTCAGCCTTCATAAGACTTATCACAGAGGATATGATCCGCTGTTTCTTCTTATTCCTGGCATTATCTGCATATGTTTGTTGGCATTGGTATATATGCTTCCGGAGTCTTTGTGTCCAGTTAGCAGTCCTACCATCATTCTAGTCCTCTTAAGAAATTATATTCTCCTGAAATATAACTCCATTGAATCGAGGACATATTCTTAACCCGTTGTCTGATGGACCCACGTTTTTGACAATTTTGCATGCCGCAAATAGGTTCATGGCCGATAGGTGTCCTCATTCCAATTTATTGGCGGAAAAAAGGGAAATTGTATGGAACCATGTGGCATAGGTCATTGAAAGGAACAAAGAAAATTCTAGTCGATTAGCAGTTTTTCTAAACTAACTCATTCTTGAGTGCTCCTAACGACTTCAGCAAATCATGAAACAACAGGTCACTAAGAAACACAATTCAAGTCAACATACGCCAAACATTCGACCATCGCCAAGGATTGCACATCAGCCGAAGTAGCGTTAAGAACCGTCATCCAGTATTGCCAAGTGATTGAGGACTCAGACCACGTACTTCTGGAGTGCACCTATAAGGAAAATGGAACCTGCCCACTTAGAACCATAGGCAGGGTTGTACAAATTCGATTATATTTTTGTTTATTAGCTCTAAAGCCTTGCGATTCACTGAGCTTAGCATACTGCCATAAAAGAGGATACCTCTAAAAATGGATCCTTAATGAGTCCAAAACCTGGTGGAACAATACCACAGGAATGAGACACGCAAAGAGATTCATAGAAGGACAGTCCGCAATATTTACAAAGGCAACCGCAACCGAACCAGGATTCTGGCTGGACTCCTGACAGATTACGGCCACTTAAAAAAGCAGTATAGACAGAAGAAACACTGTACAGATACTGCCATAAAGAAGAGGAGACCGCAGAATATATTCTATGTTTCTGTGAAGGTATATGTAGATGTAGGTTCTTGCAACTAGGACAAGAAAAACCACAAGGAAGATCCTACACCAAGGAGCCGCTGGCAAAGGTATGGATGATGAATAATAGCCTGAAGCTGGCCAGTGAATTATAAATAACAGAGGAGCACAGTAGATATATTCAGGTCGAGGTAGGCCTTGTGGCCGCCTCTTTTATCCCTATCCGTACGCAAAAGGCCGATAGATGTCCTCATTCCTTGGCCAATTTATACACACAAAAAAAGGAAATTATATGGAACATCTTATCGTGTGCCCCAATAACCATGTTGTCTTTCAAAGAAACAAAGAAAATTTTTAGTCAACTTATGCCAAAAGTTCAGCCATCAGCTAAATTGGCAATGAGAAACCTTCTGCCAGTGTTGCCAAGTGACTGAAGACTCAGATTACGTACTTCTAAAGTGCACCCATCAGGAAAATGGAGCCTGCCCACTTGGAACCGTAGACAGGGTGGTTCAAATTCGATTATATTTACATGGTACATTTTGCCAAGGATGTTTCTTATCTTTAAATCGCTGGTTTTAGTGCTGTACAAAAATGTACAGGGTTTTATGATTTTTGATATTTTGCATGACTTGTTTATTGCTTGACGGAAGCTTGTAACTTTTCTCCATGTCTTGCACTTTGGAAGTAATTAAAAATCAAGTCCAAGCGGGACGGTTTGATGTCTAAATTTCGTTTGGAAATACAAAAAGCCGAGGAAACTGGGTCCCCCCTTGATAAATAAGTATGTGGGTTTCTCACGATAAATTACCCTAGGAAATAGCTCCCTAAACATAGCTATAATTGAGTTCTACCAGGTTGATCAATCACCCGGCTTGGTTACGGGCGTGGGCCTGGGGGGACTTAGCCGTCCACTGATTAGGCTTCTTGTCAAAGGAGTCAAATAATCTCAAAAAGGATTTTTTTGTACCTCGTTCACTCACTTCTAAGGCCTTGTTAATGTTTTTCGTTTTTTACCAACACCCCGGTGACTGAAGGAGAAGCGGGGAAAGATTGAAATCGACACTTTATTTGTGGGAATCGGCTGTTTTGTCCATTTTTTTCTTATTTCGCACTGTTTTGTATAACATATTAAAGAGCTTTAGAAGATAAATTGTTTTCATTTAATTAAAACGTATTACAAGATTAGACGGCCGTCCAATTGGACCAACTGGGAGAAATAATACAAAAATCTCGCCCTGTTAAAATCAAAAAGGCATCAGCGGAAATTTTCAATTTTAATGGGTACAACGTGAAAAAATAACGAAAATGTCAAGTTCGTGCATAATATGCAAACACACCATTAAAATGATAAATCGATTTCATTAGGTTCCAATGAATTGACTTAGGCAAAAGTGAAATAAATATGTTATTTTAATTAGATGGCACATGATAAAACTACCAGTCTACGATGAGGAATGTGTTTTAAAACAATTAGATAAACAGTAAATAGTAACGATAATAATAAAAAATCAGTGATAAATTATTAAGAAGAACTAAAAGTCAATTGGTCATCCTATATCGCCATTTTTATTCGATGTGAAAGTACATTAATTTTGGCTGGATATTTTTTCTCTATTATACCATATTGTTTATAATCTTTATGTAAAGTGTGGTTGAGGTGAAAAATTACTGTCATAAGCGGGACTCGAACCCTCGACCTCTGGCTTTATACCACGCTGCTCTAACCAAGCGTAAATAAAACCGACTAAAACATGGTTTAATATTATAATATATTAAATCCATTAGATTTAGTGGTATATTGACCAAATCACTTCTTTCAATTAAATAATCCTTTTATGTAAGGTTTTGGTTGAACTGAAAAAATCAGTGCCACGAGCGGGATTCGAACCCACGTCCTTCGGCTAAATACGCTGCTGCCCTACCACTTGAGCTATCGTAACTTCGATCCACACGGACACCAACTCCCCATCTCAACCACCAACAACCAAAAACGGCAAAAAGGAGGTTAAAATTGAAAGGTTGTGGTTGAGATGGGGAGTTGGTGTCCGAGTGGATCGAAGTCACGATAGCTCAAGTGGCAAGAAATGTGGGAGGTAACCTTCCAATACACGCCGGTTCCGGAATGGATCCTCCGGAATAGGACCAGTCAAATTATGACAAGGCACCGCTACTTTGTCAGCTACTTGCATATGTTCAAAAGAACAAACACCCCCTGTGTCCGGGGGGAGTTTAAGTCGTACTCAAAAAAGTCCATTCGAGTAGATAGCGACCCACCCTCATCGATATTATATTCTTGTTTATTTATTTTATTAGTTTTAGATAAATTACGACTACTAGGAAATTTTTATCTCGGGCTGTTTTATCATCCGAGTGGATCGAAGTCACGACAGCTCAAGTCGTAGAGCAGCGGCGTATTTAGCCGAAGGTCGTTGGTTCGGATCCCGCTCGTGGTACTGACTGTTCGGGCGCGTCTCCGTCACCGAAGCGCTTCCTTTTATCATCATTATAATTCCGTGAACGAATCATCCTTTCATTGTCCCCGAAGACTCCATCATCTCACTGGCTACTACCTGGATTGCATCGTCTCATTCTCATCGCCACTGGATTTCATCATCCAGCATCATCAACGCCGCTGCAAGAAGGTCGGTACACCGGCTTAATCACCGCTGAACAACTTCACACTATTCAGGAGACATTCACCGCTTTCCGGATTTCATCGCCTTCAGAGGGATTCATCGCCTTTAGACCGTCATCGCCTTCAAATTTCCAATACGATCATCCTCCATCTTGGAAGCCATAGAAATTTCATTAACAGTGAGTCTTCAACTACTCCTTTCGTTCATTATTTATTCCTTCATTTAACCATTCCTAAACTAACATCCCCTTTTCAATCGGGAATCTTCCATTCACGTTGGTGCCGAAACAGTCTTCTTATTAACTTCAACTTCTCTCTCCGGCGGAGTTCATTGGCGCCATTTTGAATTTGGCTGCTGGCGAACACTGACTTTTTCATTTCAACTAAAACCTTCCACAAAAGGATTATTTAATTGAAAGATTATATTTTATTTTTTGTTAATTTTGTTAAACGAAGGTTCGGAACACTACAGGTCATATCAAACCTCGGGGACTTTGCAGGACCTCTGGATTCGAACCCGGTGGACTTTTAACTTAAAGTGATGAGCGCCTTGTCAGCGCCTTAACCGTTTCGACCACCTACTCGCCATTTATATTTTATTGTTCTCCGATAAATTGACAGTCGAATTAACGTGACAAGAAGTCAAACAGCGAGGGTAGGCGGACCATATATGATGAATAAGGATCGAACCCCATTTTCGGAAGACTTGTTTTTTTTCGTATTTTTATATTTTCTTGTTTCGTTCTTAGACCGGATTCATGCTGGTATCTGTTTTTGTGGATATTCATTACATAACTTATTTTCCACGAAACTAGTTTCTGTTTTTGAACTGTCGATTATGTATGGTCAAGATGTGATAAGGCTTGTCAAGCCTGTTTGTATGGTTTGGATATGATTTTGTGTTAGGTGTGTAATTATCATGCCAGTCATTATCTATTTATTAAGCAATCTTTCACATCCTAGCTTTGATTTGTCAAATATGCTGATAAGTGTGTCATGGTATGAGGTGATTTTTGTGAACAGACGGATTGACATCGAGTTCCGTTTGGTCTATGTTATTTTGAATCGGACAATGTGTTTATCGAATTATTTCGATCGTGCATGTATAAATTGTAAAAATGCTTCCATTCTGACAGCTGATTTTTTTCAACGATAACCCATGGAAGAAGCGGCGTGTGTTATGTTGCAGGATTTAGCCTTTCATTATGCGCTATGAATCATTAGACAAGTCTTAAGAGTTTGAAACGTGTAATTGTCAATATGACGTTTTACCGTTTAGCCTTCCAATTAATAATAAAGAAGGGGGCTGTACTCATGATAGGTCCTTGTTATACGTCATGTACGGTGTCATACCTTGAAATGTAGACTCGAGCTTGAGAAAGTCGGCCGGTGATCGTATAACGCGAGGACTTCGACACTGAGAGTCCTGACTGACTGCTTCGGAGGGTTGCCGCTGTCCGTCGCAGCGACGGTCACCCTGTATATGTCCTTCTCGCCAGATTCAAGCACCACTTTCGTCCTCAGCACACCCGTTACAGGATCCACGGAAAAAACCCTCCATCCTTCTCCTTCTCGACCTGAAATAAGATTTATTTGAAAAGATGTTTTTTTTTGTTTGATGAATTAACCAACCTTTAAGAATGGAATAGGTGACGGTGGCGTTTTGACCGTTGTCCCGGTCGACGGCTCGGACTTTGACTACTTCCGTCCCTGGGGCTTGTTCTTCTCGGATGGAGACGACGTCCTCCCTCGGGTCCACGATCTCGGGCGCGTTGTCGTTGACGTCGGTCACGACGATCCTGACGGTGACCCTGGAGGACCTCGGCGGCACCCCTTGGTCCTTGGCCTCGGCCACCAGCTCATACATACTACGCTTCTCCCGATCAAGCACCTCCCTCGTCCGGATCTCTCCTGCAATAAAAAATTACATATGTATTTATTAATTCAAACACTTCTAAAAGAAAGCCAGAACGAGTGGCAGTCGTGGTAATTCAGTATATAAGTAGATTTATCTATTTTATTAGTTATTACCTACATTTATGCTACTTTTTAATGTAGAAGATTGGTTTTACAGGTATGCTTTAAAATTTATACATTGTTTACTTAAGTCAAGAGGAAACCAGCTAGAGATAAAAATATCCTAGTATTCGTAATTTACCTAAAACTAATAAAATAAATAAACAAGAATAGAATATCCATGAGGGTGGGTCGCTAGCTACTCGAATGTTTTTTTAAGTACGGCTTCCTCAAACTTCTTGCAGAAGATTTTGTGCTCGACTCTTCTTGGAATTGGACTCCGCACTCTGGATACAGGGGCTGTTTGATCTTCTGAACATATGCAAGTAGCTGTCAAGGTAGGCGAGCTATCATGGTTTAGCTGGTCCAATAATCGGGGAGGATCGCGTGTATTGGAAGGTTACCTGCCTTTAACGTTACTTTCCCACCTTTCTTGCCATCTTTCCTCTACCCATGTGACCAGAAATCGTTTGCTTTCCCCCGAAAGAATGTGGCTAGCCATTCCATTTCATAGCTCCTCAGGACACTGATAGTTGTTCTTCATCTTTCATATAGCAGTGCCTTTTCATCAGTGATCTTTAGGAGGAGAGGAAGAAAGTTGGAGGGCATGCGTAGATGTCGTTTTGTCGTCGTCCTCAGCATTGCATCTCTTTGGCTATGTTCCACAATGTTTTTCGTTTTGCTTCTCAGTTTAGGAGCCCATGCCGCTGTTACATAAGTTTGTAGAAACACTTTTCCAGAGGGTGCATGGCCTTTGAGCTTAATCTCCATGTTGGGGAATGTTGGTAAGTTTGGCGTATGTGCTTTGTTTTGTTTTTTCTCTCACCCTTAGGAATAGGGATAAAAAAGGCGGCCACAAGGCTTTTTACACTTCGACCTGAGTACATCTATTGGGCTCTCCTGTTTTTATAACTCACTGGCCAGCTTCAGGTTGCTAATCACCTTCCATTCCCTTGCCAGCGGCTCCTTAGTGTAGGATCTTGCTTGTGGTTTTTTCTGATCTAGTTGCAAGAACCTGCACCTACATAGACTTTCCCAGAAACATAAAATGTGTTTTATGTGTTCTGCGGTCTCCTCCTTTTCCTGGCAGTATCTGCATAGTGTTTCTTCTGTCTGTACTACTATCCGATGCATGTGCATTCGTAAGTGGCAGTGCCCTGTCAAGGTCCAACCAGAATCCTAGGCCGGTTGCGGTTGCCTTTGTAAGTTTTGCGGACAGCCCTTCTATGAATTTCATCGCGTGCCTCTCACCTGTGGTATGGCTCCACCAGGTTTTTGACTCCTTAAGGATCCATTTTACGATGTATCTCTTTTGTGGCAGAATGCTTCTGGACCAGAAAATCCATGTTGGCCCCCTCTTTGGCCAATATGACAAAAATTTCGTTGCCTCTATGCCCCGAGGCCCGGGGACCCATGACAGGGTCAGGTCATTAGTGTCGCTGACGTCAGGGCCTCCATGCAGTTTCGGACACTCTTTGCCTTCACCTCGCATGAGGCCTGCCTGTAGTGCCTGTCTGTCAGACGAGATGGCTATCTTCCTGGAATATATTCCTAGCCTTCTCAAACCCTTATTAGATACTTAACTGAGCTTTATGCCTGTTTCTACCCCCTAAGAATACTACCCAAGTGCCGTTCTGATCGTACCTTTTAAGATTAGATTTTGACATTTTTTGGGTCAGTTTTTAAATTATTTTCAACACCCTTAAAATGACCTTTACAACATTTTCAGTCCGGTATAATAATCGCTTTCTCGTTTCTTCCTCTATCAGCACAACACGTCAACAAGTATTGTATTTTTCATATAAAGAAAAATACTTTTGAAGAATAAGGCTCCAGATCTTTTATATTTTTTTGATAAATATGCACTGAAGAAGGCAAAATACGTATACTGAAATTGATGGTAAACTTATAATAGTTTCTTTCATTTGACACAACCCTGATTTAACCCAAACTTACTGACAAAGAAGTATTGTTAAATGGAAAATTTTTCATAAATTTATGTATTGTTCTTTTTTTATTTCTTATATTCTTCTGATATTACAACATTTTTTAAATAAATATTGTCTCGATATCATTAGAAAGTCATTGAGGAAACGTCTGGCTAGTAAGTCTTCTGAACGTGCGTCATTTTAGCCATTCTTCTTGGCCGTTTCGATTATTCCTGCTGTGGAAGAACTGTTCGAAGTTATATCGGTTCCCAGCTGTCCGATAATTAATTAATGAGATTCTCGGTCGGATTGAGTTTTGCGTGGTTCTCGGCACAAGGGAGTTCTGTAAGGTAATAAATGAACACCCACTCTCGCCCGTTGGCACGTTTCGAAATTGGTGCCTTAGGAGTGAAGTAGGAAAACGAAGTGCAAAAACCGTTCGAGAATACTTAAAAAAACAACTTCGAAATTCGGACATGTAGCGAAATTTTTTTTTGAAATTAATAAATAATGGGAATTTTTCTTTCGAGAGTGAATATTAATGGGTTTTGAGTCTTCTAACGGTCGGATTTAGCACGTTTAGGTTATTTAATTCCTTGAAATATTTTTATATTATACCCCGTGGTAGTTTTATTTCTTTTCCAGTGTCGTTTTTTCCCGTGGGAACTACTATGTATTATTTTGGAAATATGATCGATTTGTACCTTTGTGGGACCGTCTTGCAATCTTTTTAAATTTCTTAAATCCGACTCAAGGCTATTTAAAAACTCATGTTTTATATGGTGTTTAAGAGAAAAATCTTTAGTTTCGGACTATATTTTGAAAGTATAGAACGGTTGCGTTGGATAGGATTAAATTAGCTTAATTTCCTTCCTGGATCCCACACGACAACCTTGTCTACGCACGCCCATTATCCTCGGTCACATCTCTTCAAGAGAAAACTCTTCTCGTATTAAAAAACATAAACATTCATTCTCTTGCATGGTAAATAGACTGGGTATGAATGAAATTCAAGGAACCTGCGACACCAAGAATAATATATACGATCTTCCAAAATTTCACTCGCAGACAGGCATCCAAAGCTGTTATTCGTCCTAATATTTAAATTTCACTTCGATTGACAAATAAAAATATTTAATTATAATTGTCGCCGAGAATCAAATTCAACATTTGAAAAATGGCAGAAAGGAAGGAAAATTCAAAACAATTAATTAAGGTTTTTATTTGAGATAAAAAAGTCAATGGCACGAGCGGGATTCGAACCCACGATCTTCGGCTAGATACGCCGCTGCTCTACCACCTGAAAAATGGCAAAAAGGAGGGATAATTCAAAAGGTGGGGTTGAGATGGGAACCACCCCAGGAGAACCAGCTTGAAGATGACGAGAAGACTTGGTTGTCTGTCCAAAGTCAGGAGTAGTCAAATGACGTACACTAAAATTGGTCAGAAACGACGTAAAAAGTGATGTTTCTAGCCGAAGATCGTGGGTTCGAATCCCGCTAGTGCCAGTGACTTTTTTATCTCCACTAAAAGCCTTAATTAATTTAAAGATATTAATTGGTCAAGCGGACCACGAAACTAGTGAATTTAATTGTAATATAAGCTCTACAGGCAAGGCCCAAAAAAGAACAGTCGTTAGGTGACAAAACATAATCAAATGTAAACTGATGGACAAATTTAACGCACCACCATTACACTTGTAATCCTTTTAAAAAGATAGTTCCTACACACAGCGAGTTAGTAGTTTCCGGTATGGTCTAGTGGCTAGGATACCTGGCTCTCACTCAGGAGGGTCGGGTTCGATTCCAGGTAGCGGAATAATTTTCGGGTATGGTCTAGTGGCTAGGATACCTGGCTCTCACCCAACGAGGGCCGAGTTCGATTCCCGGTACCGGAATAATTTTTGCTTACTGTGAGTAGGAACTATCTTTTTAAAAGGATTGAACACCGCACTCACACCACCATTCATCATCTCTATTAAATATTTATGTATTCATGTTCTGGATATCAAAAATAGATTTGGCTGTAAAAATAAGATATTTAAAAATAAATTGTATATTATCTAATTATAGAAAAACAATTATTAAGTAAAGAAGAAGAAAAAAAAGTTGAACGCCATTGCATTTATTGGAATAAGATTTCTGGTAAAATCCTAAGGGATTCTTTCCCATTCTTCAAGAACAGCAGTTTCCAACTCCTCTATGGGTGTTGGGACCTGGGTATGGTCGTAACTGTCACTTAAGTTGGTACCAGTGTTCGATTGGTTTCATATCTGGACTTTAAGCTGGATACAAGCAATCAACCTGGCATTATCCCGGATTAGCAAGAATCCCTCACCGATGTGGGTGGGCAAATGGCACTACATGTTCATCGATTTTGTCTTGTAAGTGCAAGTGCGAAGTTCTAGAACTTCATCGTACTACAACCAATTCGGTGCGGCGTCCAAAATGCAACCCAAGACATAAATGACCCACCGTGGAATGGCACCTGAGGAACCATACAGCATGGGGCGTAGGAGACCCAAGCGTCTCCGTATGAAATTACCTCGTCTGATGATTTGAGGCCAAATCTCACCTCATCCGTAAAGAGAACTAACTCGTCCTCAATCTTGGCCTTTTTCTAAGCTGTGGTAAGATTAAGTCCTGGAGAAAATCGAAACATTTCAGACTTGTCTTATCATATTTTTTCTCTAATTTCCCGTAATAGTGCTATTTCGTGATGACATCTCTCTCTTGTACCTTGGTCCACCATATCGTCTACCGACTATCCTAAAATCAGGAGTAGTCACACGGCATAGACCAAAATTGGTCAGAAACGACCGAGAAGTGATGAATTTAGTTTCATTTTTACTTGTAAAAACTTGTAAAATCTCGTTTTCTTAAATTATGTACGCCATTTCTGACCACGAACCTCTGCAGAATCAACACTGAAGATGACGAGAAGCCTAAGTTGTATCCGATGTCGAGA